TTATTGTTCTTTATTGGCATGGTTCCTTGGAGACCCATTTACATCAAAAATAATTTATGCTCTTTTTTTTTCTTTTTTCCACAATGCAATAAATTGTTCAATTAAATTAACTTTTTTTTCAATATAAAGAATCTTTTGCCTCTATAGCATAAGTCTCAAACTTGATTCCTGGAGGACCGCAGCTCTGCACAGTTTTGCTCCAACCCAAATCAAACACAGCTGATACAACTAATCAAGGTGTTCGAGACTACTAGAGACTATTAAGCAGGTGTGAGTCAGCAGTGGTTGGATCTAAAACTATGCAGAGCTGTGGCCCTCCAGGAATTGATTTTGAGACCATTGCTCTATTAAGAACCTCTTGTGCAATTGAAAGTTTCAATAGATGTTAAAGGTTCTTTACAGAATGACCAATTAATTTATTTTTAAGAATGTTTGTATTGCACAAAGTTTCTTTAGGGTGTCACGGTGGCACAGTGGGAAGCACCATCGCCTCACAGCAAGAAGGTTGCTGGTTTGAGCCCCGACTGGGTCAGTTGGCATTTCTGTGTGGAGTTTGCATGTTCTCCCCATGTTCAAGTGGGTGTCCACCCGGTGCTCCGGTTTGCCCCACAGTCCAAACACAAGCGCTAGAGGTGAATTGAATAAACTAAAATTGGCCGTAGTGTATGTGTGTAAATGTGAGAGTATATGGGTGTTTCTCAGTGTTGGTTTGCGACTGGAAGGGCATTCCCAGCGTAAAACATGTGCTGGATAAGTTGGTGGTTCATTCTACTGTGGTGACCCCTGATTGATAAAGGGACCAAGCCGAAAAGAAAATGAATGAATAAATAAATGAAAAGTTTCTTAAGAGTGAAATTAGGTAAATAAAATGTCCTTCAAAGTATGAAGAATAGTTCCATTTGTAAAAAGTTCCCTTTATAAACCAAAAATGTTTTTTCTAGTTGGCTGTGAAACCATACTCTTGGATCTAAAAAGTCGATAATACTAAAATCTCAAAACGGGAGCCTCTCCATAATGCCAATAATCCTTTCAGTTAAACAAAAAGTTCAATGAAACTTGAATGCATTGAAGTCAGTGGCCTACTGAGTCAACACATTTGAAAACCTTAGATCTGCTCAAGAGCAAGTTTGCTCAAAAGTGACCTCAAGTTGACATAGTGAGACTTGGCCAAGATTTCAGTGGCTCCTCTATTGATCTGCCAAATCAGTTCTCTGGCCGCGAGTCTTCATTTCCTGCTGCATTTGTGTCACAAATAGCTCCATCTTAAATTAGCCAGAATCATCAGAGAACCTTTTGTTCGGCGGCCATCTTGAGCCAAAAAAGCCCCATCCTCGGCCAGTCTGCGAATCTCTAGGAGATAATGATGAGTGAATGGCATGGCTGCGTTTGATGCCCTCTCAGATAGCTTCCGGCTTTCCGGAACCCGCCACGTTTGGCTTTGTTTTTCTCCTTTCACAGAAATCTGAATGCAGGGCTGAACTGTGACTAATTGGAGTTGCTGTTTTTTGTCACTCAATCACGAAGGCCTGGTAAGGGCATCTGAAGCTGGAGTTAAGATAGACCCTCAGGGCTCCATCAACACCACGGAGCGATGCTGACACTCATCAGCTCCTCCTATTGAATTTATGACAGACACACAGGGTCTTCGACGTGCTGTCATAACTTGGCTTGTCTTAAACTCTGGATTTCAATTGATTTATAAGCGTTTTTGAGAAGGTTTCAGCTGGCCGGCTTCCTCTCTGTCAAAATGGGGTATGAAACGTGCCAAGCAGGATGCGGTCACCATCTTTGATGATGTGCCCAGCTGACTGTTTCACCCATTTATCAAATGACAGGCCTCTGAAATTCAAGAGCTTCACGTGGCGAGGACGAAGCGAGCTGGCATATAGATCTCACTACAGATGCTGTTTATGAAATGACACATTTATGAATGCCATTACTGTAACTAGTGTGATATAGTTAGCTTGTTAGAAAGAGAAGTTTCCAATGCAAGACATAATTTGAGTACTGTAGGATGTCATTATATCATAGTAATTTCACATGAGACAAACACATCAATACAACATATATTAGCAATCAAATTACGGTAATACCTGCTATGCAGACCTCTGACCCCAGCAGCAATACTATGCATAAAGAGACAAATCCCAACATGTTGCTGATTCTGACCTGCAAACAAAACAATCTCACTTACTGGGTTATAATGTAATATATTTAATGTATATTTAGATTTAATTATATAAATACTTATATTTTCATCAAAAAAATGTGACCTCTTACCAAAACATATTTTTAAACTTATAACATATATGAGGTCATAATTGTATTATATATGAAGAGTTATGAGAGTTATGAGAAGATACCTCAAATGAACTTCTTTTCAATATAAAAACTTGATTTAACGCTTCATGTACATATACATAACATATATACATGCATTTAGGTTTTTCACAAGACAGTAATAACACACGAGTATTTTATATGATCTTCCAGAATACTTTACATTAAAAATAAATAAATGCAATGACTTTCTATAAATGATAAATAAAATAAATCAAGCATCACTTTCATTACTTACCATGATGTCTGCTGTGAAATTCCGGTGTGCTTGAGCGCCACTGTCACCGACGCTGATCAGGACTGTGGTGTGGTTTACAATAATGAATTAGAGGGATCCCACTAAAGGCTTGGGGAAAACCAATGAGTTTGAGGGGGTGGAGATAGAACACTTGTAATGAAATGTGGGATGATGGAATATTCTGGAGCAGGATGAATTTAAGATCTTATATACTTAAGAATACTTTGGATATGGATGCTTGTAATAATAATTCTTTTTTTTTTTTTGAACAGGATGTTGACTTATAGAAAATGTAATATTGAATATCATAAACAGTATATCCTCTAACACCTGTAGCTACATATGGAGAAAATGAAATAAAATAGAGCAAAGGATCTACATGATTATGGACAAAATATCACAAAGGATGGTCTTTATATTCAGAGGAAAAAAATAATAAAGTGATAAGAACAATGATAATAAAGTGAATAAAAAATAATAGGCTACAGACAATCCTGTTAAAAAATATATATTTGCAAAAGGAAAGCCAAAGGATGAAATCTCAAGTTTTTTTTTAAATAAGTTGATTAATCAATAAAAATTTAATCTTTCAAAGTTGAAAGAGTGAAACAATAACAGTAGCCTAAAATATTAATACTACAAATAATAATACTAATAATGAATATCACATACACAATAGTATTAAAAGATTGTTTAAATATTTAGAGAAAAACAAGTTTTAAAACAAGATTAGTCTATAATGAAAATGCAAGTAAACAAAAAATAGCCTAAAAAGCCTAAACAAAAATGACACAATGTAAAAAGCTGGTGGTTGAACCTAGGATCCAGGGGAACAATGGTTTTCGTCCAGGCCGTGGTACACTGGACCAGCTTTATACCCTCACCAGGGTGCTCAAGGGTTCATGGGAGTATGCCCAACCAGTCCACATGTGTTTTGTGGACATGGAGAAGGCATTCGACCGTGTCCCTCATGGCATTCTGTGGAAGGTGCTTTGGGAGTGTGGGGTCAGAGGCAGTTTGTTAAGGCCAGTCTTGTCCCTGTATGAACAGAGTATGAGTTTGGTTCGCAATAAGACTTGTTTCCAGTACATGTTAGACTCTGGCAGAGCTGCCCTTTGTCACCAATTCTGTTCATAATTTTTTTGGACAGATTTGCAAAGCGCAGCTTTGGGCTGGAGGGGGTCTGGTTCTTGGACCACAGGATTTTTATCTCTGTTTTTCACAGACGATGTTGCTAGCAGGCACTGGAACTGTTTGCTGCCGAGTGTGATGCGGCTGGGATAAGAATCAGCACCTCCAAGTCCGAGACCAAGGTGCTTTACCAGAAAAAGCCGATTTGACATTTCCAGGTTGGAGAAAAGTCCATACCCTAGGTGGAGGAGTTCAAGTATCTTGTGGTTTTGTTCACAAGTGAGGGAAGGATGAAACATATCGGTCTGTTGTGGTAAAAAAGGTGCTGAGCTGAAAGGCAAAGCTCTCGATTTACCGGTCAAACTACATTCCTACTCTCACCTATTGTCATGATCTTTGGGTCATGACTGAAAGGACAAGATCTTGGATACAAGCAGCTGAAATGAGTTTCTTTCGCAGGTTCGCAGGACACACCCTTGTTGATAGGGTGAGGAGCTCTGTCACCCGGGAAGAGCTTCAAGTAGAGCCACTGCTCCTCCACATCGAGAGAAGACAGCTAAGGTGGCTCGAACATCTGTTTCGGATGCCTCCTGGACGCCTTCCTATGGAGGTATTCCAGGCCTGTCCCACCGGGAGGGGGCCTTGGGGAAAACCAAGGACATGCTGGAGGTATGCTGTATGTCTCTTAGCTGGCCTGGGAACGCCTCGGTATCCCCTAGGAGAAGCTGGAGGAACTGTCTGGGAAGAGGAAAGTCTGGGGTTCTCTCCTAAGACTGCCGCCCCTTGACCCAGCCCCGGAAAAGCGATAGAAAATGAAATAATAAAAATCTGGTCCTTAAATATTCTAAAGAAATATGACAATTTGTTTTATTATTTATAATAATTGTTATTAATTAATATTATAGTTGCTGTTATGTGCAACTCAGCATGTGTAGTTATTGTGTACTTACACTTTAGTATGCCTATTAAGTGGACAAAAATAATACACAACATAAAAATTGTCTTTATGTATTCAGAAGAAAACAGAATAAAATAATAGACAATAACAATCGTTTCAAAAATAAACAAAATAATAAAGTGAACGAAAAAAAACACATGATTGTCTTTATTTAAGCCTAAAAGTTTAAGGTGACATTTAGTATATTTAGAAAAATTTTATAATTGTTGTCATTATTATTAACAACGCTCTCGACTGTAATTGTGAAATTAGGTTATTTTCCTTGATAAACCTTAAATACACTGCCGTTTTATGTAGCAAGTGAACATGGAGTCTGTGCGCGCAAACATACCAGGGAAGTTCATTGCGTTGTTTTTCTCATCGCTCACGAACTCCATTGGCTTTATTAGCACTTTACGGCATCACGATGAACGTCTCCACCAATCACAGCTCAGTGCGCACGATGCGCGCGCCAAGTGCAAACCCCAACGCCGAGAATTCGCCTTTTTTTCTAAAGGGGCGTATTTTCCTTGCCAATTTAATTACAAACCAACATTCAATGCACACGATACACTCTGCAATAATGTCAGGCGCCTATTTGAAACACTTAGGTACCCTGTCAAGGTGATAGCGTTGTGTAAACATCCAGGATGTTTGCTTAGGAGCGTTTTTGTGGGAAGTCTCGTCAATGGAGGCTTGAGGAAGCCCGTCTCGCTACAGAAGAGGACGCTGTCGCCCCTGGATATGACCGGCATTCCCTGTCGTTACGAGCGATCGATAAAAGAGTAAGTTTGCTTGTTTATTTTGCACTGCTTTCTGTTAGGACTCGCTTGTGTCGCTTGGGCTGGCAGCGCCGCGGCTGCTTGTTAGCGCGCTGTAAATATGGCTCCGGTGCTGGAAGAAGGCGCTCATTTACCAGCTGCCTTTGCTAACTGTACACAGCGCTTTATTACATACAAGTGCTTTTTCTCTGCTGGTACACGGTTTGCATGCAAAGGACTGGCAAACAGCTACAGCGTGATATGTAGTTATTTGTCGTTTGGTTGTTAGAGTGTAAATAAGGCGTATTCACACGGTCAGAGTTTGTTATCAGGAAAAACAATCGAGGTTGAGACTGTCCATCAGCCCTGCTAAAATGGCTGACTCGCCTGTCTCGCTTCGGGATTGGTATTTAGCGCTCTGCAACCGAACTACGTCAACTGGGTCGAGGAAACTTTAAAGATCTGCCCAGTGATTGGCTCGCGTTTCTCACGTGATTTGAGAAAGTTGCCTTATTGGTTCGTCTGATGCAACGCTTCAAATGTGCTAGTAGCATACTGTATTTGTGTATTATTAGGAGAAAGCTTGTTTAGGAGTTATTTAATGATTATAGTTCACAATAAAGCATTTATTTTTGTATTTTATGCTACAGAAAATGTTGCGTAAAGAAGTGGAGTGAATGTTAGCTGCTACATTTGACAGTTGATGTTTATGTTCAAAAATGTTGATATCAACAGTCATATCATTGCTTGAAAATGGTTAAAACAGCACAGCTGTTCGCTGGTTTAATAGGGTTTTATTGTTTAAGGTAAGACAACTGGAGATTTTAACTACTAGATTTGGCTGCTGCCGATAAACAACAGTAACGTAAATTTAGCGTAATTGCTCTGTAATTGCAACCTTTTGAAATGTTTAATTCTTCCCATGTGTCATTATAAAGTTTGGTGTGAGTTCCAGTAAGGTGGACATTTTCAGTACTGACGAAATTACATCTCAATATATTTTGGAATTTTTAAATAAATAACATTGACTCTCAAGGAACTTTTTCTGCATATTAAGTGCCATAAAATATACATACAATAAGAACAGCTTGCACATCATTAAAATGCTAATTACTATACTATATTATCATAGATATGATTATTAAAGTGTAATAAACACATAATAAACAAAACTATGCTGTCTTCACACTTATCTAACAGAATATATATATATATATATATATATATATATATATATATATATATATATATATATATATATATATATATATATATATATATGAGCAATTCCATGCAAATGTAAACCTTGCCATGAAAGAAAAATGATGGTTTCACCAAAATGCAGAAACTGTTTGTTTTTTGTGTAAACACGTATTTTACAGTACTTTAGAAATACTCAAAAATGTAGTGGGTGATTTCACATCGGTCACATCCATAACAGACAGACGTCACATCCATAACGACACTTTTTCCTCATAAATGCAAAAATGTCAAATAAAATGAAATCAATATTTTTGGTTTTGTAGTGAGCCAACTCTTATCCTTTTGATTTGCATTATTTCATTTGGGTTGTGCAGTTTAATTCACAGAATTTCTACAAAGTTTGTTGTATACTCCAAACTTAGACTTTTTTTTTTTTCTCAAACATAACGCATGTTTATTTCCCTCATTTAAAGTATAAAAACGTTTGCAGACTGATATTTTTCTGATCCTATAACTCTAGTCAGTTGTTGCGGAAAATATAAACAGATGTTTTAATGTAATGTTAACATACTTTCTCTGTGATTTTATGGATGCTAATGTAATTCTTGACATAAAATAGAATTGCTGCGTCCCAATTCGCATACTATCCTATATAGTATTTAAAAATAGAATTAGTATGTCCCAAATCAAAGTATGTTGTATTTCGTCTGCAACAACAACGTGAACTCATATAATTATCCAAAGACCTGAGGAGATTTCTTTGCACGAAAGCCGGAATGGCAAATTATCCTGCTACTGTTTCTCCAATAAGGTAGGAAATTAAATATGAAAGAAATGTGGATGATTTGTGGAGATTTGTGGATGATGGACAGGGCTCATAACTAAGCAACATAACGATCTGTTAACAAGAAAGAAGTATATCCCAAAGCTTGCATACTCTTCTGTTACACACTTAAAAGTTTTTCTTAAAAAAAAAAAAAAGTACATACCAGGGTTCAACGCTTAGGATTTTTTCTGATGGTCCGATCGGGCCAATGGTTTAGATTTTTACTTGTCCTGCCAAAATTTTCACTAGCCCCTGCAAAAAAAATAAGGCATGTTAATAGGTATTTTGTAGCCACATATTTTAAATAATGTGTCAAAAATAAATCTGTGAATCTACAATTTCAATATTTAAAATTCAGTGTTATGTAAACAAAAAGTGCATTATGGAAATATGGAGGTATGTTATTTCAGTTCGAAATTATTTAACAAAGGTGGCTGACTATATATTGTGAAAAAATAAATAAATAAATAAATAATTGCAAACAGACATTTTATTTTAGCCTCATATTTTGATGTTGCCTCCATGTTGCTGTCTTTTCACTGTACTGGTTGTTACCAGTGTACGGGAAAAAATAGCATGCTCAAAAATCAAATCAGATAAGAGGATCAGAAAAGCAATATGGCGTTTACGACATCACAGAGAAGGTAGACTTTTTAAGACTAAAAAGCACAAGCTTAAAATGCACAAATTTAACTTTAGTGACAAGGCGGCACTGTCCCAATCAGGCCTGTAATAATGCTGTCTACTGTCCCAAGCATCTCTCAAACTAGCCCCGGGCCATAGGGCAGTCCTAATTGTTGAGCCCTGCATACTCTTAAGGCGTAGTGTAAGTATGCAAATTATGACAGCAACTTTTTCAGCAATATATAGTCAATATTTATAGCATATATTTCTATTTTCACAGGTACCTACGACCATTCATATTTGACGATTTATATAGAAGTCATCTCCAATGAGGAAGCTAAGGAAACGAGTTGCTCAGTCCCGAGCTGGAGGCTTTGGGAGGGGATTGGTCAGAGAAGAGGATCAGGATCAAGTTGGTCCATCCAGCCATGTTGACATGGATGCTCTACTCTGTCCACCTTCTCCATGCAGACTGAACTTCTCTCCAACGAGAGACACACTCACATATGCACAGGCTCAGCGGATGGTGGAGATCGAGCTGGAGGGAAGACTCCACCGTATCAACATCTGCGACCAGCTCTCTGTCGTAACAGAGGACGAGATGCTGGCTCAGGATCTGACAGAGTGCAACAGCAACAAAGAGAACAGCGAGCAGAGGCAGGGAAACAAGCAAGCTGCATCTAAAAGCAAAAAGAAAGATGGCAAACACACAGCCAAAAAGAAATCAGGTGGTCAGTATGGTTTGCAGGGGCAGGTTGCACATTTACAAGCCCCCCTGCCCAAGCCAACATTTCGTAAATTGGACAATTTCACAGTCTCAGATGCTCCCCCGCTTCCAGTGGCTTATTACCGCTATATGGAGAAGTCCGGGGAGGAGCTGGACAATGAGGCTGAGTACGACATGGACGAGGAGGACATGGCTTGGTTAGAGATGGTCAATCAGAAGCGTGTGTCTGACGGCCACGCTTCGGTTCCTCCTGATACATTTGAGTTACTGATTGACCGTCTTGAGCGAGAATCCATTTTAGAGTCCCGCAGCCAAGCGTTGTCCCAGAGCACCATTGATGAGGATGCCTACTGTTGTGTTTGCCTTGATGATGAGTGTCTCAATAGCAACGTCATCCTGTTTTGTGACATCTGCAACCTCGCCGTGCACCAGGAATGTTACGGGGTGCCTTACATCCCTGAGGGCCAGTGGCTGTGCAGGCGATGTCTGCAGTCCCCGTCCCGACCCGTCGATTGTGTCCTCTGTCCAAACAGAGGGGGTGCATTCAAACAAACCAGCGATGGAAGTTGGGCCCACGTCATCTGTGCCATATGGATCCCTGAAGTGTGCTTTGCCAACACTGTGTTCCTGGAGCCTGTGGAGGGAGTGAAGAACATTCCTCCTGCGCGGTGGAAGCTCACCTGTTACCTGTGCAAACAGAAAGGCAGGGGCGCGTCTATTCAGTGCCACAAAGCCAACTGCTACAGGGCGTTTCACGTCACCTGTGCGCAGAGAGCGGGTCTGTATATGAAAATTGACCCAGTGCGGGAGACCGGCACCAATGGCACCACTTTTACTGTGAAGAAGACTGCTTATTGCGAAAACCACTCACCTCCTGGCACGGGAACAGAGGGGTATGAAGATAACGGGTTGGTTGGGGGCAGGGGTAACAGAGGTCAGAGGTCGTACACATTAGGCCCTCCGCTGCAGCAGAACCAGAACGGGAGGAAAAAAGGGTCAGCAGCACAACAGAAGAAAACGCAGAAGAACTCAGGCGGAGGCTCACGAAAAACAGGAGTCCCACTTCTGCTAGTGCCGCAGATACCATCCTTTAGGTAAATGTTTACGTCTGCTTATTTGTCTGTTATGTCTAGTTTTTTATTTCACCTCACTGCAAGCATGGAGAAGTATTTTCCCTTTAGACTCGATTCTAGTAGATTTTAAAATCTGCATAAAATCAAAATTGACCCAGTTTGTCTTAAATAGCTAAATTGGTTACTGTTGTTGAAGTTTGGTAATATTGTAATTATGGCTGGGCCGATAAACAATATTATATCAAATCACAAAAAAGTTTATGCCAATAACAATGATAAACTCTGCACTTTTTTACTCTATATTCATCTAAGAGCCTATCGCACAGCAGAAATGTGCAACAATGGGAATCCAAAGTGTGTTGATATCGAATTTCCAGCCACCGAGATGTAAGAAATTCAAGATGTATCGAATTTACGAGGTGTATCGAAATCAATACATTCGAGATGTATCAAATATTCGGCCACCAAAAATTTAACGGCCAAAATTATGTTACGCCATTTAATGGACCCTCTAATTCACAGTTGTCAAACTCAGTTCCAAAAGGGCCACAGCTCTGCACAGTTTAGTTCCAACCCTAATTAAACACACCTGATCAAACTGATTGAGTCTTCAGGCTTGTTTGAAACCTACAGGTAAGTGTGTTGGAGCAGGGTTGGAACTAAACTGTGCAGGGCTTCGGCCCTCCAGGAATTGAGTTTGACACCCCTGCTCTAATTTTTATGGCTTCAGTCATTGTTGGTTTACTCTTTTAAATCTGGAAGCATTAACAACTTATGTCGAAACATATATCGTTATCATTCAATATGGACAATAATTATTGAGACTGCATTTTTGCATATCGCCTAGTCCTAATTCCTAATTCCTAAAGTCCTAATTTTAATAATTTTTTGTAGAAGGCGTTTACCTACAGAAAAAAAGATTTTTAGATTGTAATAAAAAATATATACAGTCCAAGGCTGAATTATTAACCCTCCTGAATATTTTTCTCCAATATCTGTCAAAGAAAAAGAGGATTTTTTTAATAACTCATTTCTAATAATTTCTTTTATCTTTGCTATGATGACAGGACACAGTATTTTACTAGACATTTTTCAAGATACTAGTATTTAGCTTAAAGTGACATTTAAAGGCTTAACTAGGGTAATAAGGCAAATCATTGTATAACAGTGGTTTGTTCTGTAGACAATCAAAAATATTGCTTAAGGAAGCTAATAATATTGACCTTAAAATGGTTTTAAAAAATAAAAATAAAACAAATAAGACTTTCTCCAGAAGAAAAAATGTCATCAGAAATACTGTGAAAAATTCCATGCTCTAATAAACATAATTTGGGAAATATTTGAAAAAGAAAATAATTAACGGGATGGCTGATAATGCTGACTTCAACTGTAATATCTGTAATTTACTCTGTGTATTTACACATTCTGTTACTTTTGGGATACATCAAGATGATTCCCTTTAACCTTTTTGCTCTCATAGAAAAGTCTCCAGAAAATTTGGTACCAGTTTCAAAGTCCATCAGAAGCGCCTTCATGTCTGGCTTTTTTCTGCTATTAAACACTGTTTACAATCCTTAAAGCAAAATTGTTTATACTCTCTTTTACTCAAAAATGCAGAATAAGGAATTGTGAATGATTAGTGTTGACTTTAACAGTTGGCCCTGTATCATATTTTCCTAATAGGCTGAACAAGATTTGCACAGGAGTCTCTGTTGAAAGGAAGAATCAGTTTATGCAGAGGCTCCACAATTACTGGCTGCTAAAGCGTCACTCTCGTAATGGCGTGCCGCTCATCCGCCGGCTCCATTCTCATCTGCAGGCCCAGAAGTCTGAGCAGGTTAATGTGCTGTAACTCATTACACTTTTGTTGACAGCAAAGCATGTGATAAAACTATTAATAACCAAGCCCACACATAATCAGTGCCAACAGAAAGTGCTGCCGACTTCAGCAAATTTGCACCACTCATTCACACTTTTCCCTGCTCCATATTTGTTTGTTTAAAAAATATTATGGTTAATTTGATCGTGTTTTCAAGTAGCGCAGATTTCCATGTTTAAATCTTTTATGCTAAATCACTGGAGCAGTCCTTACATAGCGAAATGATTATTTGCTGATAGTGTGTATTGATTTTTTTTATTACTGTTTAGAGAGAACCAGATGCAAAGTTGCAGGCGGTCAGGGAAGAGCTGAAGTATTGGCAGAAGCTTCGCCAGGACCTGGAAAAAGCCAGACTTCTTATTGAGCTCATACGAAAGAGGGAGAGACTCAAAAGAGAACAGGTGACACAGATCATGTTATAATGCTCTTTTGTTATGTTCTCAAGACCCTGGTCTCTATAAAAAGCCATCACTTCTTGCCAGAACAAGCCTGAGGTAATTACTAATTCACACCATGGTTTTAATTTGCTCTGTTCTCTCATTAGATGAAACTTCAGCAGGCTGCACTAGAGCTTCAGCTCACCCCTGCGCTGGTGTTTCTGCGCGCTACACTGGAGCAGCTGAAGGAGAAAGACACTGATCACATTTTCACCACACCAGTCAATTTGAAGGAGGTGAGGAAATAATGGTAACTTTAGGAGTCTTTTGCAGCTTCTTCTGATTTTGCTTTCCCTTGTTTCCAAAAAAAAAAAAAAAAAACATGAATTCTTTACAGTTAAACATTGTGTATTACTGTAAATTTGATTTAGTGTTAATTTTTGGCATTATAAAATTACAGAATTATCAGAATTTGATAAACATTTTAACAAATCTAAATAAATACATATTGTTTTTTAAAATTTAATTATTATTTATTTAATTTATTAAAATTTCCTTTGTTATTTAAACATTCATTGTAATATACCTATTAAAGTATAATCTTGCATTCAATTAATAACATGTATTTTTCTAAAGAGTTATGGTAACATGAAAACTTATGGTTAAATAACAAAAGAATAATTTACTGTGAAGTTTTATGAATCATATTAATGTTAACCTTTAAAACCTGACCTATTTTTTTATCAAATTGGACTAAGCTTTTAATTTTTAATGCCTTTCATATATTTTGTGGCTTATCATATTTTAAAATGCTTATTGGGATGCCAGATACCATTGAAGGTTTTAAAACACCCATGTTTGTAGCTTATTTTTCTTAGTCTCAGTGGACCTGCTGCTGTAAACATTAAAATGGTAGATTGATCTTTTTATTTTAAAGGTGCCGTATACTCCATTGGTTTAATAAATTAAATTGTTCTCTAATATCTACATAGTAGGTTTATGGCGTCTGTAAGTAAAAAAAATCTCCAGAAATGGTTTTATATGCTCATTTATATGCTCCCTAAAATACCCTTATAACCAGAAGGTCCATGATTGACCATATATGGCACGTGTCATAAATATTAAGCTCGGGTCTTTCAGACACACACAGCATGATGTACACTGAACACTGACAAATATAAACCCAATCAGTTACATTAACCTATTTTTCTCACCAGGGGCCTCATGTATCAACGCAGCGTATGCACAAAAACTTTGCGTATGCCAGGTTTCATGCTCACGTTTGGATTTACTAACGATGAAATTAACGTGAGTGTGCGTTGGTCCAAGGCAACTTCATGTCTGGCGTACGTGCATTTCTTGTGTGTGTTTGTTTTATTTCCATTGGCGACTCTTAGAGGCTATCCTGTTAAATTGCACACTACAAAGTATCTTTGAGCCGTGCAATGGCAGCTGTATGAGACAGGATCAGCCGCATGTCTAGCAGGTTTATAAGGTTTCCATACCATGCAGTTGACAAGCCAAACATTAAAGTGCAATTTGCAGCGATCGCCGGTTTTCCCAATGTAATCAGAGCGATCGACTGCACGCACATTGCTATAAAGGCACCATCTGAAGACGAATTTGCATACGTGAATCGGAAACATTCAATAAATGTGCAAATAATATGTGATGCTCAAATGCGCTTACCATAATACACACACTTATTAATGATTCCTACTTGTCTTCCTCGTGATGAAGAGTAGGGAAAATCTGATATGTAATGGGGAAAAAAGAAAATAAATTTATCAGACGCTGGATTCGAAACAGGTTCAGGAATGATAGTGTCAAAACAGGTTGCCATGTGCTTTATGAGCTTTTTTTTTCTTTTGTTATTAATTCCGTAAGACAAACTTGCATATAACTCCGCTTTTCTCCAGTCTACCTGGCGCACCTTCAATTCACATTCTGTTCAAAGTTTCTCTACTTGCTTGCTTTTTTTTTTTTCATTGATTAAACAGGGGAGTACAGAATTATACATAAAACAGTATACAAAGGAATTAACAACAAAAAAATTCTTGCTTGCTTTTGCCATTGCTTTTTCGTTTGGTTTTGCCAAAGTAGAGTCATTAGCATATTCATACGGGGGAGGAGGCAGGGAGGGGTTTTGCGCTCGTGCATGTGCGCTCAGTTTCACGTTTATTCGGATATACAAAGAGAACATGCTTGGGATTCTGCGTAATTTACAGCTTTGTCCGTATGCAATGTTTTAGTATGATTTCTACGCAAGTCTTCGTACATGAGGCCCCTGATCTGTTGTGGATAAAGGCTAAATTATAATTAAACTTGTATGCCGTTGTATTTTGAAGCTATCAAAAAAATACAGCCATGAATTATTATCACCCTCTGCATGAACAGATGAAATTTGAGCAAAGTATTTGTTGAAACATACACCTCAAATTTTACAATAAACACAATAAGTTAACAAAATATGTAGCTAAACATACCTCATTCCACTTCAGAGTGAAAATTAATAAATGTATAATCTGTAAATCTTGCATTCTATGTCCTGAGGCGATATTAAAACATGTCTTGTGCTGTAGTTGCCAAAGTAAACAATTTGGTGCTTGTTTTCAAAATAAAAGTCCCTTATACATAGTAAGTGAAAAATATATGCTTATAATAACTAAGTGAGGAAAATTATCACTGTTGTCTCACTAGAAAAAGTTGTTGTTTAACTAACGCAGCAAGATGTATGCATATTAATGATCTCAGAGCTTTTTTTTATGATCTCAGAGCTTGATGACATGGCTACTCGGATAAACAACCCAAATTAGGCATACATGCAAATGAAAAGGGCATTGCCCGTAAGTCTCGTCACAGTTTGTTTAAGTCTTCTGATTGTCCCGTTGTCCAAAGTGTTTTACACTTGTGGAATTTACATGGGAACAAGGAAACAGTAGTGTCTGAGGCTCACAGTATACCCATTTCCATATACTGATCTCGTATTATTCTACTTTGCCTTGGTTTACCCAGATTTTTATTATAGGGCACCTTTAAGAAAGCAAAGAAAATCTTTTTTTTTTTCATCCTCACGTCCTCCTTCATGTATTCCAGGTTCCAGATTATCTTGAGTTTGTGACTGTGCCAATGGACTTCTCTACGATGCATGACAAGCTGGAGGCTCATAAATACTCATCAGTGGCAGACTTGGAAAACGATTTCAATCTCATGGTATCCAACTGTCTGAGGTACAACTCCAATGATACAGTGTTCCACAAAGCGGCTATGCAGCTCAGAGAGGTGGGCGGAGCCATCCTAAGACACGCCCAACACCAGGCGCTCAGCATAGGCCTGGATCCAAGCACAGGCATGCATCTGCCAGACAAGCCCATCCCACATAACACCACTGTCTCCTGGTGTGATGAAGGTGAGCACTTACACAAGCTTGTTAACAGTCATTAAAGTTCACTTAAAATTACATTTAACGTTTTCTTGCTGTTAGCATCTGTATGCTAGTTTTAAAGGTGCAATAGGATATTTTAAAAAATGCAAATATTAGCCATATAGCACTTGAAAGCCCACGTCCCAACCTGCCAATCGTCATCAAAGCTATCCTTCCGGGACAACCTATCATAATATTCAGACCCAAATCTTTTGATTGGACTATTTTTTCTTGGTCCTACGTCTTCCACAGAATATTAAAATACACATGAATGCATTTGGACCACATCATTTAATTAAACTTTTATCCAGAATAATTAAAAAAGTCTCTGAAGACAGTCGCCTGTTGCACATTTAAGGTTCTATATAAACTAGTTTGCTCCAAAACAGTAACACAATTTGCATTGAAAAGCTACAAATGTTTAAAATGTATGGGAAATAAAATGTTTTTAAATGTATAGGAGTCAGCATTTTCATGATATTGTGAGCTTTTCATTCGATCTTCTGACCAATCAAATGCTATTTAGCATCTAAAGTGCCCCTACAAAATGTGTCACTTATTCAGATGTAACCAAGCATTCATAGTGAGGTTTACTCTAACACAAGGGGCTGAAGTATTCAGACAGTGTAAAGATGCTGTCTATTAGGCTTAATGAAGTCTGGTTTTATGTTAGTTCTCAACAAACCACCGCAGTGTAAAAAAACTGGTTCCATTCCAACCCAGAAACATAATAGCACAGAGCGGGTCAATACAGATCACAAAACATTTCAGACCCATTTGAATTACACTGAATGATGTATTTTAAAGCAGAGCGACACACTCAGCATTGCTATTATAAGACTGGCTGCCATTTGTCAAAAGCTCAATGGGTGAAGATACGATATAAACAAAATGCTATTGGCTATTCCTTTAAAAAGGGAGGAGCTACTTGAAATATCCTGCCCTGTCTTCATGATTCGGTTGAAAATTACACACCTAATACATTTTACAAAACTGTGACATTGAAGGTGCTTTGGGGGACATTTAAGTGAGACTATTAAGCTTTCTGATGTTTGAATCTCTTTTTGCAACAACCCTAAAAAAGGCAGAATGCAACATAAAAATAATCCTAATGCTTTTGCAATCTGAATGCTAAAATTTGCCTTTCTATTAAATCATTTACAGTTGACATGCTTTTGGACCCTGACAATCGTGTGCACATGTGTGCTGAGGACCAGCTGAAAACACTGCTGGACAAGCTGGATTTGGTGGCATCTATGAGGACAAGTGGAGGCCGCACAAAACGCATGCGCCTGCTGCGCAGAGAAATCAACAGCCTTCGCCATAAGATCAGCCACCAGGATCGCAACTCACGACTGCTGAATGGGAAAATTAGAGAGGAGAAGAGCAAAGATGCCAAGAGTGAGAAGAAGATGGATTACATAACCTCAGGTAATACCAAATAAACAAGGTAAACCATGCTCGGACGTTGTGAAAATAAATTTCTAAAGCAAATTGTAGAAGAAAAAAATAGTGTGTTTGCATAATTTTAAAAGCAGTAGTCTACTGTGTAATTTTCAGAGAGGTAAAAATGTCTAAAAATCAATGAAGTCTATTCTATTTCTATTCTATATCTATTTGAGCCTCAGCATTTATTTATTTTATTTTATTTATTTATTATAAGTAGCAATTAAAATGTAGTTTTACAGTGAAGGAAATATATATTATGGTTGGTATAGCTTATTTGTGCTTTTAAAAAGGATTTGCAGGTATTTTTTTTCTTATTTTTTTCTGATTTTATATATACTATTTCATCTGTATTTTTTATTGTTTATTTGTTTTTGTAGTATGTATATTTAATTTCATTTTAAATATTTTTCATAAGCAAAAACACTTTCACAGTAAGTTTTTTTTATTTAATATTTTCTTAATATTATTTAGGGATGCATGATATTTCGGAGGCCATATCGTTATCGGCTGATAAATGCTATTTTTAAGATTATCGTTATCAATCCCATGTCTAAATTAGGCCGATATCTTTAAGCCGATAAACTACGTAATTGTTGCTGCGCACGCGTGGGCGGAACATGTTCAGACTTGTTCATGGAGCTCTACTCACACTGTTTATTCCTTCAAAGTCTGTCCTTTCTTCATGTGGTATTGCTGTGCGTTAATAACTCAGTAAGTAACCATGTTCCTTATCATTGTAGATATGTTTGAGTGCCATTGTGTATTTTGCTTCAAATCGACTCAGGAAAAAATATTACATATGAAAGCCTTTCCTGCTCTGTCTCTTTGTTGTGTTAGAGAGATTTACTTATTACTCCATGGCCGAATAATATTAGTTTCAGGGTGAACTCTTTTAGTTGCAGCCGGTGAATGAACGAGGACCCATGTAACTTGGTCTCATTGCGAAAAAAGCGCTTCTCTTTTCTGTCTCTCCCTCTTGGCTTCACACTCACACATACACACACACCAAACTGACCTGCACACGTGACGTGCTAAACAAAAACTTACGGGAGGTTTTTAATCTAATATAATTAATTGTTATTATCAACACGTTGCTTCCCATGTGTTGTTGATGTAAGATGTAATATTCATATTGATTATAACGACACACACATAGATCTGACAGCCTTGAGCCTTCACAGATCGACAACAGGGGAGAGCCTAGGTGCACCAGTCACTAGCCGCATTTCCACTGTCGGGCCAGTGCAAGCCAGGGCTTTTATCGGGTCGTGCCGGGCCAATCGCCCGGAAGGTTGAGCAGTGAGGCCGAAATCATGTCGCGTTTCCATTGTCGGACTAGTAGCTCGCAGCGCGTCACACAAACCCCACCCCAAGAACGTCCCCGAATCAAATGTCACTCAACCCGCCCACTTTAGCGGGAATCAGTCAGATAAAGCACACATCACATCATCACGAAACGATTCAAATAAAGACAACCGAAACAACAAACAACAAACCGAAAGATATGACACTTTTTCAGTCTACAAACGTGGACACGTCATTTGTAAAGTTTTCTGTCTTTCTGTTGTATATTCTGTATTATCTCTAAAATAAATAAAGAAAAGAAAAAAAGCCGTGCGGCATCAACAGAGCTGTAAAGGGAGCGCTTGTTGGCTCGGTCTCACACACATATACAGGCATCTAAACGCGCACAAACACAGCTTTTAAACTTGACAAAGACTCTCGAAAACCTTTACTGGCTGGCTGCTCTATCTAATGTGGTGTAAAGATTATTGTGTGTCACTGAAACATCAAGGAGAACGCAGCAAAGAAAAGTCACTTATAAATTAAACTTTATTATTTTATGCAACAGCCTTACATTTAAAAGGGAAGCATAAGGGCAATTAAAAGCAAATAAACGCCAGCTTATAATGCTAGATGTTTTCTTTGCCTTATTTATTTATTTGTTTATTTGGCCGGCCGCTGGCCCCGAGTAAGCCCCGCTTTGGCCCGATTAGGCCCCGGAAATGACAGTGGAAACTCGACTGGTCTTGGCTCGCTTGCTTTAGGCGCGAAAGTGGAAACGCAGCTACTGAATCCAGCATACGGGCCACACATTCTGTCTTTATATTCTGCTCTGTGTTTGCCATAAAGTCATCTAAACTCAATGATCAGGTTTGTATCAAAATCCGAGGGCAAATCTGCCCCCTCAGCGGTTTATCATGAACTTTTCATTGATCATTTTTCCCGCGATTGACAGCAAGAACAAACACAGAAACGTTGATACTACGTGTTCAAAAGACTCTAAAACACCAAATAGGATGAATTTTTGTTGCATTTTCTAAAATAATACATTCTGTATCTAGCTTTTCACTTGTACAGTGGCTCAGAGCTGTCAAAACACCTCTAAAAAAGGCTTTTTCGGACATATTTGTACACATGTACATCACTGTAACCCGTTTTATTCAAGAACATTTGAGCTGGTTTTAGTCCTTAGCTCTTTCATTTTCATTTTGTTTAAAATATATTTTACTTGCTTGTTAATTAAATCCCATTTTGTTATTTAACCTTTTTAATTTTATGCAACAGTCAATTTGCATGTTAATTTGCTATGAAGAAAATGAAATAATGTATTTTTTGCATGCTGGTTTTTGTGAAGTGGTGATTATAGGTCTTATAATCACCTTGCAATTTTGAAATCATAGCTTTTTTGCTTTGAGTATGGGCTACTAAGTTCAAAAGAGCAGAGTTTCAGCTTTTATGAAGTTTGCTGTGTAAAAATATAACATTTTGAATTATTTATAATTATCGGCCTATATATATCGGCTATCGGCCTCCAAGTCTGAAGAATTATCGGTTATCGGTATCGGCCAAAAAATCTATATTGGTGCATCCCTAATATTATTGGTATATATTAGATGAGTTCAGATTAATTATGTATTAAACAAAAACATCTTATCAATTAACAACAATAACTATTTATTTAAATTATATGAAGGCACAGTTGGCATTAAAGCAGAAACTGCTAGAAAACTTACAACAGGTTTATTTTAAAAAGAGAGAATAACTTTTATTAGTTAGCTTACAAAAAAAAAATCTACTTTGTCTCACACATTTTGATATATTACTGTGGCACAAATGGGCACTAATATACAAAACAGGAGAAAATATTACAACTAAGTCTGTAAATATCAAAACAAATTTCATCTAAACCTGTTTTTGTTATGTAGTATTTTAAGCGACTTAATTCTTTCCCTATTAGAAGACCCCAAGAAGTCAGCATCACAGAAAGCGCAAGAACCCGCTTGCCCAGCCTCTTCACCTTTACCTGGCGATGCTCCACCAAATCCACCTTTATTCTGCCTCGAGACAGGACGAACCACCACTCCAGCACAGTCAAATAAACCTGGAAGCAGGAAACAGAGGGCAAAAGGCAAAGACAGAAGCCTGAGAGAAAACCACAATCAGACCCCAAAAGAAGACGAGAACTTCCACACAAAAGAGAACGACAGCAGCCCTCAGGAGGACAGGGTTTGTTCTGCAAAGAACCAGTCTGATTCGCCCAAGATTGGTGTGGGTCGTCGCACATCGATCCTCTTCAAGAAAGCTAAAAATGGAGCCAGGCCGACTAAAGACAAGCCTGTTTTATTGCCAAATGGAGTCAGCAAAGCTCAGAATGGTGCATCACAGGAGCAAAACACGCAAGCTAAAGCACCATCAACCCCAAAACCAGTCTCTCCGTCCCCTCACCAGCTGAGATCCAGAGGACTGAGCACATGCTCGGATGGTGAAGGCATGAAGGCCAACAGTCTGCCAGAAGAGAATGGTACAGATATATCTTTACTTAAGCAATTACTTAAGTTTATTGAACATTGATTTAAGTGCTGTCCTCCACAATGTGTTTAATATGCTGGAACTAATGCTCTAATGCACTTTATTTAGGCCTCACAAATGGACTCAAGAGACACAACGGCAACTCATCAGATTCTGAAAACTCCACTCCTGCCTTCCCAACACACAGGTAATAGAGGCAGTCAGCGCTTTACACTCATCCTGTTTACATGCAATGTTGTTATTTATGCCAGTGAGATCAGTTGAGACTGAGTGCTGATTACAATATTGTTCAAAAGTTTGGGGTCTGAAAAGTTTTTATTTTAGTTTTTTTAAAGAAATTAATTCATTTATTTGGCAAATATGCTTGAAACTGATCAAAAATAACAGTAAAGACTTTTACGATATATTTATTTCCCTGATTTCACAGATAATTCAATCAATCAAAGGCCTTTATTTGTCACGTACACTTCCATGTAGTTAAATACAATGTCATGTAGTGAAATTGGACCCCCCCGACCATACACAAACATCACATTTTGGGGGAAGACAGGTCAACAGGTGGTAGTATTTGGAAAAAGGAATTAAGATACATATTGCCCTTGAATTGAGCCACACTGACCGCTTTCGTCAATCGTCGATACGCCAGGGCCCCGCATAACCTATCAGCAGAAACCCTGTTATCAAAGTGCCAAATAGGTAGATATCTTCAATATCCTTCAGAGACAGAGCAGCCAGGCACACGACGCGCCACTTCTCCTACCTGTCAATCACGTATCTAGCTGCAAACGTCTCTGAAGGACAAAAAGGCTGTCCCAAGTACAAATTTCTATTTGAAAATCCCTTATTAATCCATAATTCCTTATTCCTTTGGATGGCAGGGCACGAAGAGCCTCAGAGATAGAATAAGAGGAGCCAGCCAGGAAAAATATGGGAGGGAGAGGAAAAAGTGCGACCGCCCTCGCCAAGAGTCAAAGAAGAAACATTCCTTAACTTCAATGAATGTGTTTTGTTTACATAATTTGTATTAGAATAGATTGAATTGGCAGGAAACACAGTTATAATCCAGTGGTTTTTCATTTAGCACTGACCGCTGGAGATTTGTTCACTTGACATAGATGTTCACAGAGTGCATGTTACACAGAAAAGCTTAGTAGTTTAAAGAATGTTTGTTTTTCAATGATTTTTCTCAGTTCATCTCCTCCAAAGCGCAGTCGTGGTAAACCAGCCCTCAGCAAAGTTCCTGTAGATGAGGAGAAGAATGAAGTTACTAATACAAGTGAGAACATTTAAGTACTAAAATAAACTGTGTTGTTCTTTTTTGTTTTTTTTTTGCTCAACTGTCTTTATTTTGTCTTTGCTTCTATAGACAGTGAAGCTTCTCAAAATGATGGTGAGATGGAACCTCTTACTTTGGTTTGGGCAAAATGTCGTGGATATCCATCGTACCCTGCAATGGTAAAGTCACACGGTTTTGCATTTAAACTTGTGTGTCTACATGATATTTACAGTGTGTTCACAAGACCAAAATCTGGACTAAAAGAGAAATTAAAATGATAGGTCTTTTTTGCTTAATATTTATGCTTTTATTTTTAAGACCACACAAAAAATCGCTTTTATGACAAATTTTTCAATGAAGCATCCAAACAATTCTGCTGAGCTAAAAATCCTTTACTGTATGTCTGTAAAGAAAGGTCTAATCAGCGAAAATCTCATGAAGAGCCTATAAAATGTTAAATGATTGAAACCAGTGCTCAGAATATCTTCATTGCATACACAAGTGAGAATGCATTGAGAAACAATTTTATGCTCACGTGATTTGACGTCATGTCTTGTTTTTTGTTTGTTTAGAAGTCTTTATTTCTTTGTTGCCTTCACATTTCAGTCAAACAGCACCAGAGTTTATTTGGAAGAGTGAGGGACGTTTTTCCTGCTTGTTTGGTGCACACCAGGGTTCAAGTGGCAGCTTTCACACCACACTAAGGGCCCATTCACACAGAATGTGTCATTTTGTACAAAAAAAAACAGATTCAACAATCAGGAATGCTTTTTAAAAAAGCACAGTGTAGAGCACGAAGGTTTCTGGACATTGCCACTGACTCTCTGTAAACAGAAGCTCGCAACGATTGCCTTTCCTCTGATTGGTCCACTGCTTTGCAACTGACATTGATAAGTAGCCCTGTGTAAAAGATTATTTTAACTCGATATGACATCTAAAAAACATGGCACTATGTGAGTGTAACAGTCATACATGTTCAAGAATCGAACTAAAGATCTGAGAATCCTTGTAGCAAACTTATGTGTGTGTTGTTTTAAGAAAACAACCGTTCATTTGTGTTGTGTTTTATTTTTATTTGTTTTATTCATTAGGCATTTATATAATTATCATTTTATTGACTATTAGTTAATGATTTGATTGTTATTATTGATTATTTGTCATTTTATTATGTATTTTAAATTTTTATTACTATTTTAATATTATTGCTTCATTATTATTTCCACTTTTCCATATTGTTATAATCTTATGACTGTGTGGATTCAAGTGACACTTGTCTTCATGAGTAAGGGATAAGAGAAAGACTCCATTTAATGATCTGTTCTGTGTCTGGACAATTTTGTGAAGCAGTAATTTTCCATTGCTGTTGCTTGTGGTATAATAACACTTGTTGAATTTATCCTGGTCAGACGAAGTCTGAGCATTCAATTATTCAAAACTAAGATTGTTCAATAAACTGCTCTTTCTTTATCATCATTACTTTGTCTTCTGCTCCTCTCTTGTTTTCTCAGACAACTTTTATATTGATAGGAGACTGTTAATTCAGTTGAATACTGGTTAGCAGGTTTAGGTATTGGAAACTTTGCTGACTTGTTGTCCATATACCTGGAGAAACAGACATTTTCTGTCAAGATCTAGCGTCCGGGGCTGGATCGTAGTTATCTGGCGTGGAGATGGTGGTCTAACAATGTCTTAAAAAAACAATAAAATGTTGAAATCGGAATGGGAAAATTAATTCTGGGGCGGCTTAGTGATTAGCACTGTCGCCTCACAGCAAGAAGGTGGCTGGTTCCAGTCTTGGCTGGGCCAGTTGTCATTTCTGTGTGGAGTTTACATGTTCTCGCCATGTTGGTGTGGGTTTCCTCCGGGTGCTCCGGTTTTCCTCATAGTTACTATGTCAATTGGATGAACAAAATTGGCCGTAGTGTATTAATGTGTGTGTGAACGCAACGGTATATGGGTGTTTCCCAGTTCTGGGATGTGGCTGGAAGGGTATCCACTGTGTAAAACATATGCTGGAATAGTTGGTGGTTCATTTTGCTGTGGCAACCCCCGATAAAGTAGGAGACTTAACTGAAGAAAAATGATTGAAATTCTGTTTGAATAAGCATTAACAGATTTATCTCACCAGTTACGTGCCAAGTGTGAACACACTGTTGATTTATCTAGTCTACTCAATTCCTAACCTAAACTAATAATGATTTTCGACAGATTGTGGATCCTAAAATGCCCCAGGAAGGAATTCTTCACAACGGCATTCCTATCCCAGTGCCACCTACTGACGTCCTGGATCTTGGCAAACGCCGACAGGAGGAATCTGAGGAGAAGCTCTTTCTTGTGCTGTTCTTTGACACAAAGAGAACTTGGTGAGGTGAAATCTACATTTCCTCAACTATATTTCAGACTTGCAGTTTATCCTGTTAACGTTACTGTTATTTTACTGGTAAACAGGCAGTGGCTTCCACAGGACAAGCTCCATCACATGGGCATTGATGACACTGTAGACAGACTGCGTTTGATGGAGGGCAAGAAACCCAATGTGCGCAAGTCTGTGCACACGGCATATGACAGGGCCATGACGCACCTGAGTCACGTGCAGGAGAACTCTTCCTTTAACCCCTCAAATTTTATATAAAAGACTGCTAGAAGATGGATGTCTAAACTGACTGTAAGCTGCCAGTAAAGGTACGATCACATCATTCAGATGTTATTGGGTTTTACATAAGTGAAAGTCAGAATTTTAAAGGGAAACTTCACCCAAAAACTAAAATGTCCTTACCACTTACTCACACTCAAGCAAATCCAAACTTTAATGAATTTCTTTCTTCTGTTGAACACAAAGCCATATATTCAGAAGAATGTTGGAAAAAGCAGCCCTTGACATTCAAAACAGGAACAAAAACACTGAAAGTCAATGGCTGTTTTTCCTAATATACTTCAGCATGTCTTCATTCGTGTTCAAGAGAAGAAAGAAACTCAAACAGGTTTGGGAGATTAGTAAATGATGAGAGAAGTTTAATTTTTGGGTGAACTATCCCTTTAAACTCGTGTCTTATATGTCCTGTTTTCTACCCTCCATTATTCAAGGCACATCATAAATTCAAACCTGGTTTTATTAAATGGATAGTTTACTCAAAAATAAACATTTCCTGATAATTTACTCAATCCCGAGGCATTTAAGATGTATTTGACTTGTTTTCTTCTGCCAAACCAACCATTTTTTCCTTCTAATGCATGTACACAAGGCTCAGTGTACAATATGTTTGACATTCCAAAATCCATATTGAGTCCACATGACCCCAGCAAATAAACACAGTTATTTTCATAAGGGATCTAAAAAAGGATGCACTTCTGTTTATATCACATTAATGAGATGGTTTAGTTCACAAAGGCCATCCAATAAGATCATTATTTGTTGGCATGGGGTCACGTTGAAGCTGACAAATTTCAGACCATCAAAACAATCAACATCAGGGCCTGTTTGCTTACATTGGATGTTGAAAAATCCTACAAAATTATGGTTGAAACTTCATGTACATCTTGGATGGCCTGGTGAGTGTATAAATAGAGCACAACAGATTCTGGTTCTAGAAACAAAAGCATTTATTTACCGATAAACCCTTAAAGACAGAGCTGTTGTGAATATTTAAATGCATATGCTATTTTTCAACTCATATTCTCATGAATTTGACAAACAGTTGTTTTAATAGTAGAATCTTTATAGAAAAACTACATTCCACCAATCAGTCATGACAAACAAAGTGCACCAGAAGAAATATTTAGCTCTAAACACTCTTATAAAGCACTGCAAATGGCATCTCTGTAGATATAAAAGTATTTATTAAAAGCTGTTAGTCGTTTGTAGATTTTTAATCGGATGTAATTCAGAGCTTGATTAGATTGTACACTACCCAACTAAATTCTTGTCGTGGATCCCAGTTGTAAGAGCAAGAAATGATAACTTGACTTCTAGTTGATCATTTGGGAAAGTGGCAGAAGGTAGATTTTTCCAATGAATCATCTGTTGAACTGCATCCCAATCATCAAAATACTGCAGATGAGCTATTGGAACCCGCATGGATCCAAGATTCTTACATAAATCAGTCAAGTTTGGTGAAGGATAAATCATGGTTTGGGGTTACATTCAGTATTGGGACAAGTGAGAGATCTGCAGAGTGGATGGCAACATCAACAGCCTGAGGTATCAAGACATTTGTGCTGTTCCTAAAACTTGGATAAGCGACAAGACTTGTCAGGTAGTGTACTTCTTGGCTGTATTAAAGGGATAGTTCATTCTAAAATTAAAATTCTATCATTATTTACTCACAAAATCTATTTGAGTTTCTTTTGTTGAACACAATAGAAGATATTTTGAAGAATGCTGGCACTTATTGACTTCCATGGTTTTTTGTTTTACTATAGAGGTTTTCCAAATGTATAAGTTTGAAATCACATGAAGGAGAATAAATGATTTTGGGTGAACTATCTCTTTTAGTTCAGTCTTATATATCTTTATCAAATGTAATTTTGTTTGGTTATTTTGGTTCATGGCTGATGATGCTTTAGTAAAGCTTTTTTTTTTAAATCTCTATGACAAAAAAAAGACCAAAAATCAGGAAAAGATTTTTTTTTTTTTTAGTGAACTGATCCCTTAATTTGTTACATTCTCTTGCAACCAAGATTTAGTTTTGCATTCAGTTGCTATAATTGCACTTACTTCTGTTCAAGTTTTGCCACTTGTTGTTTTTGTCACTGTTTTGAATGTTAGCTGATGGTCTCGCGCACCAGCGTTCGGCCAGCGTGACTCAGGAACTTTGTGCTAGAATGCATTTCTGAACGGAGGATTTAGTGAAATGCACGAGCACAAATACAGTCCTGTTGCTCTCAGATCTGCTTATATGCTCTTCGTCTTTATCAGGTTCTGAGTGTCTGGTGTTTGTAAACCATTGCTGTTTTAACCTACTGTGAGATGCCACTGATGACTTTCACTTCTTTGGCACTACTTAATCCCTGCCACCTATTTTATGTCTGTTTATTGTCCATATGTGGCCATTTATTTAAAAAATAACGATAAGTAGAAAGCAAGAAGGAAAGGATGTGAGCTTGTAATTGTGAGTGGAGAACATTGTAAATATAAATGCATGTATGTAGAAAATATGCACAGATGTTGTTTTTGAAAATCTGAAATGTAAATTAATGACAAACTTTGTACGTCATTTTAATTTATTTGGAGTGCTTATGGAAAAGTTATTTAATAGTAATTTAACAGCTCCGCAGAGCTTTATATTGTCTGGAAAGCATTAATGAAATTGTTTCTTAGTGGTCTACGGTGAGAGAACATTATAGAATCAAATGTTATGTAGTCTCTTAGATCATGTACGCAGAGTAAAGAGAAACGTGATTTTTTTTTTTAAGCCTGTGAAAAAGCTAATAGTACCAAATGGAAAATGTCTGAAACAGTATTTTCTCAACCGAGAAATAAAAACACTGTTGCGCTGATTGTGTTTCTGAGCCTTTCATCTGTGTTTATGGATTAGATGAGTGGGATTATGACAAAAAAGGGAATCCCCATGCAAAAAAAATGGTAAACAGGTGTAAATTTGGTAATATTTTGAAAAGAATAATTGTTGATGAAAAAAAAGTTGTGTAAACACCAAATCTATATTTATTTTGGTAACAATGTATTTTAATTTGTATGTAGCTTTACTTTAAAACTGACAGAAAATATGTAAATTATATTTGAAATCTGAAAAAAATAAAAAGGCTTATATTTGGATCTTGTTCGAATGCCATACCAAACATCACAACTAAATAGCAACTAGGCTCTAATAGTAACCATTTAAGGTCACCTGTTTTTTTTTTGTTTTTTTTTTAAAGGTCCCATAAAGTCCTCTGAAATGTGCATTTTTATTCAATGTTTGACAATCTCAACAGAAACATGAAGAGAGGGCGGGACATAGTACATAGTAATAATATTTTTTTAATCACCACTTTGCCAGTGAGAGTGGCTGAGCTCAAGTGCATCTAATGAAAAGCAAATGAGAAGCATGTTGAAGGGGGCGGGGCATGTCAGACTCTAAAGAGCATTTGATTGGTTGTGATTTGATGAGAAACTGACATATAAGGTGACGTTAATAAAACTGTTACTCTATATAGGCGGAAGTGACAAACTACAAGCTTTACGTCAGTTTAATGTCTTGTTGAATTTTTGTTGACTGCTCAGAGCTCCACTTTATAAATGTTCCCTGATTAAGGTCACGTTAAGATCATAAAGTTTGTTGGTATTTTCTTTAAAGTTGGTCTGTTAAAAGACCCGCGTAGAGTATAAAATATGATGATAAATCCCAAGATTAGTTCAGGTTTAGAGTTGGATATTGTTTTAAATATGTAATTGTACGTATTAAGGGGGTTAAAACAATATCTTGGTGTTTCTGTGCTGGTATATGCCTGTAATGAATTATTATGTATAGCTGCCACCAGTAGGTGGTGACAAGTCCTGAGCTTAATCTGGCTGCATTTACAGTTCAGATCTTGATTGTCAGTCAATTCTGATTTTGTGACTGCATCCGATTTTTTTGATGACCCATTTAGATTATCTTTTAAAAGTGACTTGTATGCGATGTCTGCATTCACACGGCAAAAGCACAATGACCCGGGAAGTAAAAAAAAAAACAAAAAAAAAAAGAGGGCACTGACTGACAGCTACTAAAAGAGAGCTCTTTTCTCCTTTCTTGTATTTAACCTGTGGGGTTGAGCTTGCTCTCTCTCTCGTTAACATGTTTTAATACTTGCGCTACATGACAAGATAAAGGCTCTTTTATATATATATATAAAATTTGGGATTCTGCTGAAGTCTGTTTTTGAAATGAAAGCATCAAAGATGTCGTCATTCCTTACCTTTTTTTAATAACGTGCGACTCGCATTGACAGGTGAAAATCCTTCTTATTTCATGTCCGATAAACTTCCACATATGAACGAGGCCTGGATCTGATTTGAGTAAATCAGAAACAAATCCACATTAAAATGTTCAGTGGTTTGATTTATACATTTTATAAAATGAATGCATATTGCCAATAATAATAGAAAAATATTCATAAATTGTAAACCATTTTAACATTATGCATTGTTGGATTGCTTTAGAAACATTTGATGAAGCTGAAATTTCAAATGAAAATGAAGTTTGCAAAAATAAAGGACAAAAAAATGTTTGCAGTGGACATTAACAAGGTCTCAGTCAGATATATTTGAAATAAACAAGATTAAGCCAGTAAATCAAGCAAACGTTGTGTTACTTTCATCCCTACTGATGGGGTCAAAAGTAACTGCAACTTTTGTTTAACTGGATTGTTTATTTTGAAGTTGCATTTTTTCACAAGACCACCGGTATTGATAGACAACGCTTATGAGTCTAAAACATTATCTTTTAGGAATAGGTTTTTTATGAAAAATGGTTTGCCTTCTGCTCTCCCCTACTTCACTTGAACCATGCGGTGTAAATGCAGCCAAAGGGATTCACAGAGTCGTTCATTCAAACGAATCATTCATTTAGAAGAAAAAGCAAATGTTTATACATGACTGAATCATTGTGATTTGGCTTTTAAACCTATTTTATTGACAAAACAGGCAATATTGCTTCGAAAACGTGCATTTTGACTTCAAGACATTTGCTTTTTGCAAAGTGTGACAATGTCATAAATAAACGCGCACACACTCAGACAAACACCTATGAACAACAAAATTGATTAATCTGTTGTGCGAGTATTTAGGAAAATAAAGCTATTAATGCAAGATGTACTTTGAGCAACCTCAGATTTATTACAGCACCAATATATTATTCCTCTTCAATACAAATGTTGTTTTGTTTCTTCCAGAAAAAATTGCAAGTATGTAATTGTCCAAATATCATACATTTTTTCCAATTAAGTCCAGTGGTTTAACCCGTTATGGTGGTCTTGATCTTATTATTATAATACAATGACATCATAGTGCACATGCCAGAGAAAAAATGTCATAAATCATGACCAGGAAACAAATAAAATCACACACAACACTCAACTAAAACAAATAAAAGAACACTAACTCATACTAAAGATACCATTCATGATCTCCTGATATGTTATTTAAGTTTGGGTTGAAGTTCAAAGCCATGTAAGACTAAAGGAAACTCCATCACAAATACAAAGAACGAGCAGAAAAGGTGACGGTGATAAGAGTTTAGACTAGAGCTTTTCAATCTTTTAGCATCCCTTATCCAAAAATATCCTTATTTGTATATTCTCTAATGTAATATTATAAACAGGTCTGGAGTATTTATTGGATTATTAGTTGCATAATTTATGTACTATTACAAATTTGAGATCAATTTGAATCATTTTATTATACTTTAATCATATTTTAAATGATTTGAGAACATTTTTATAATTATTTCTTTACGTCTTGATAAAATGTATTAAACATAATTATTTATTTATTAAAAACGTTTTATTTTTAAAGCCTTTTTGTCCAAACATTTTCACAGAATCGCTTGAAAAGCCCTGATTTAGATGAAAAGCTTGTGTCTTCTTTCATTAAGAAACCAGTTTACCAAATTTGATCATTTCATAGCATAAACATTTCCTAATCTAGATGCAATTATATGACAAAAAAACAATCCAGTTATAGCTTCCATATTCAGCCACTGCCACCAGCTGAGAAGAAAAAATATATATCCATACTCTATATATGATTGGGCCTCTTTTGCTACGTAAAGCTCATCATCAATGCTGTGTGTGTGGAATAAATAACGTGCATGACTTTTCTTCAGTGTAGAAAACTAGATTCATTCCAGATGATGCTGTTAAATGGTCCAACAAATCCAGCCGCTTAACATCATTATTTGAACCTCTGGTTGGTGGAATGATCTCTGGTGAGTTCGGTTTGAATGCTGTCATGAGTCTGATTAATGTGCATCTGCAAACAAAGAAGAAGAGATTCATGTAAACACTCAATCCTGTATCCCAATTATGGATTAAACGATTAATCGATGACTGAACAATTATTTTATAATCCTAATTGATAGTCAGTTAAGCGTGAACATCATTAATGTGCATGGTTTTGAGGCGATGTTTATTTGATTTATTTTTGCTTGTTTACATTGTCTGATTTGTTTTGTGTGACAATTATTTATTGAAATGAGACAGTTATTCATTAAAATAATAAGAAATATGTTAACTATGATATATTTTTAAATCATATTGTATATTGCGTATTAAATAACACTTTATTAAAGAGAAAAAATGAAGCAAGAACACATATGTTTAGGTCACACTTTACAATAAGGTTCATTAGCTAATGTTAATTAATGCATTTACTAACATGAACAAACAATTAACAATACATTTACTACTGTATTTGTTCATGTTAGTTAACGTTAGTTAATGAAATTACAGCAGTTCATTGTTAGTTCATGTTAACTCATGGTGCATTAACTAATGTTAACAAGCATGACCTTGAATGTTAATAATGCATTAGTAAATGTTCAATTAGGATTAATAAATGCTGTCCATGTGCTGTTCATGATTAGTTCATGTTAGTAAATGCATTAACTAATGAACCTTATTGTAAAGTGTTACCTTGCATCCATTATGGACAGAATCATCCAATTAATTATCTAAAATGGATTGGCATGTAATCCAACTCTATTTATTTAATGTAGCTTGTGAACGTGTATTATATGCAGGGTGCGAATTACAGGATGCTTTGGGGGGAATGACCACCCTAATTAATGCTTCATCTCCCCTAAAGGACTTCAAAACAAACGTGTATGTTGGGGTCAATCCTCTAAAAAGTGGGAAATAGTTTGCTCTGATATGTATCTTTAATAATAATATTATTAATTAAAATGATAGATAATATAAACACATTTGACCACCCCTATAATAGTTCATACCATTGTGAATGGATAATTGCGCCAGTCAGTCTTAAAAAAAAAAAATCATTCAGCAGTCTGAACCGGCAGATCTACAGCACCGATGGACATCGTAAGTGTTCGCAAGACACTTTTCTTGTAAAATAGGTGTTTGTTTCTACATATAGCCTAAAGGCAAAGTAAAATGAGCTGTATAGTTTGACTTACAGTAACTTTTGAAATCGCTAATCAGAGGATACTGTAGAACAGAATACACTAAATATCCCACAAAACACTGAAAACTTAATGCGTTTTATCAATAAATTTAGATTTAATTTAAATCAATCCATACATTTGATTCACTGAAGCATTACACAAACTAATATTACTGAAACATTTGACCCCCCTAATCATCAGTGTAAAATTCCCTTCCTGATTATACGTTTATTATTGCAGAATAAAATCTGGCAGGCTTACCAGCTGTTGTAGAAGACTAAAGGGCTTTATTCTGTGAAAACAACCAGTTGAATGTGGACAATCATAAACTTATTACATGGCTACTTGCCACAAAATGAACAACTAGACAAAAAATGTAACTGATGAGTATATACAGCGGGGGATATAAGTATTGAACACGTCACCATTTTTCTCAGGAAACATATTTCTAAAGGTGACGTTGACTTTCACCGGATGTTGGAAACATTCAAAGAAATCCATATATGCAAAGAAAGCCAAATCAGTTAGTTTACAAATTAAGTCGTGCATAAATAAATGAAATGACAAAGGGAAAGTATTGAACACATGAAGAAAGGGAGGTGTAGAAATGCAGTGAAGGCCCAGACAGCAGCTGAAATCTCTCAGCAACTTTCTGCCCATTGTCAGTGTAAATTAATAATCTTTTTTTTTTTTTTTGTAATCTTTGGGTTTTCACCAAAATCTAGTTCCATGTCAACAGCTTTTTAAAAAATATTATCCCCAGGAAAAAAAACATGACGTGTTCAATACTTATTTCCCCAACTGTATATGAATGTATCCACACTCAAAAAAATGCTACTTATTTAACATGACCTCAAACAAAACAATTCCTGAGGTATTTTTGGCGACAAATGAATTGTTTTATGTTCGATCCACCTAAATTTATAAAAACTAATGAGCTAACTTAATTCCTTTATGTTGTCACAAAACAAATCAATTGTGTGGAACCTAGCATTTTATTTACAGTGCGGTCAAGATGATTTAGAAAAGTGCCTGGATGAGTAACGGGTGTTATTAGTTTTTTCACGTTATTTTGGAATAACATACCTTGGAATGTTATGATTGACCAATCAGAATCAAGTATTCCAGAGCACAGTGTTATAAAATAATGTTATCCATGTGAAGTCAGATGAACAACTAAATGTTTTGAGCCTTTAATAAGTGTTTGCTTTCGTTTTGGCATTGTCCAGATTTTCTAAATATGCACAATATCTCTGATTTAAAGTCTTGTGTGAGTTTGTTGGAGGTGTCACCTGTTTTGGAGCTCCTGCTGGGGTTTGGGGTGGTGGAGTACTTTGGAGGGTAGCGGATGAACAGACGCTCTTCCTCTTTCTTGATCCAGCGCAGTAGTTTAGTGATGGCGTTGATGGCACAGGTTTTAGTGACGAGGGGACTGAAGCACGTGTACAGCTCGAATTTGCTCGTGACCTGGAATGAGAAATTAATGGAACATTTTAATGAATTTGCCTCCGGCGACTACTCATAATTAACCCCAAAAATGTTATCAAGGACAATGTCAAATAACAGCCCTGCATCTCGGTAGAAATTGTGGTGCTTTGCAAAAAGAAGGAGAACAGCTTAATATCAAATAAATCAAGTTTTTAAAAATACTGTTTATTTAAATAAAAAAGTTTAATTTTTGTCGGGTTCCATTTCAATTTTTGATTGATTTAATGCTTATTTTGTACATTTTCATATTTACTCAGTTGTAATTATTCCTAGTTGGTTAATTTTATTTAGGTATTCATCATTTTAGTACTTAATTTAGTTGATTTATCAGTTTATTAAGCATTTTTATTTTCTAGGATGAGGAAAAAAAATACACACACACACACACACACACACACACACACACACACACACACACACACACACACACACACATATATATATATATATATACACACACTCTGTTTTTGCCAGAGATGGGTTGCGGCTGGAAGGGCATCCGCTGCATAAAAACATGCTGGATAAGTTGGCGGTTCATTCCGCTGTGGCGACCCCGGATTAATAAAGGGACTAAACCGACAAGAAAATGAATGAATGAATGAATACACACACACGCACGCACGCACGCACGCACGCACGCACGCACGCACACACACACACACACACACACACAGGTCCCTCACTATAACGTGGTTCACCTTTTACCTTTTTCTTTACAGCACATTGTGTTCTGCATTTTGATTAACACATTCCTCATCTCCTGTACAATACAGAATGCGTTCAGCTTGCCAAATTTGACATAAATCTTCCATCACTAGCAGTGTGACTCTAAAGTGCTGTACTGTACATTTGCAGGTTTTTTCCCCAACAAACCTCACAATGTTGACAAAACATTCTGCACCATGAAAAGCACCAAAAAGGCAGAGGAAGATGCTAACCATCGCACAAAAAGTTGGACTTCTGGACATGCTAAGGGACATTAGACGTTATGGTGCTCCAGGGCGTCATTATGGAATAAATGAATATTCTCAAACAAATGTTTGGGCCTAAAAACGGGTTTTGATCTTTGGTTTCATTGTATAATACTGGATTTATTTTTTTCAATGAAGGTTTGAACTTTGAGTGTTTAAACAAAAGAAAAAAGTGTAAAAATGTTAACAGTTGAAGTCAGAATTATATTATTTCCTTTTTAAAATATTTCCCAAATGATGTTTAACAGAGCAAGGAAATTTTCACAGTATGTCTGATAATATTTATTTCTGGCCTTTTTGCCTTTATTAAGTGGATAGGACAGTATTTCAGACAGGAAGCGAAGTGGAAGAGAGAGAGAGGGGGGTAGAGACAGGAAATGTCCTCCAGCTGGGATTCGAACTCTGGACGCCCTGAATTGCTACTGCACTATATGTCTAACCAATAGGCTATTGCACTAATCCAGAAATATTTAGTATTCGTTTTTAAAATTTTAGTAATAAGAATTTAAAGACTAAAAACCTAACAATAATAAAACAACTTGTGTAACCCAAAACACTTTTAGTTAGTTTTAGTAATTTCAAATGATATATTTTTATTTTATTTGTCTTTTATTTCAAATTTTCATGTTTAATTTAGAAAGAGAGACTTCTTCACCTTACAAATGGTTGTCAAAAAAAAAATCATAATTTAAAATTATATTCCATGAGAATAAGCGACATGTTACAGGAAAAACAGCCACTAATCAGCTCCTCTAATGAAGTCTTGATTTGGCAAATTGGATGCAGGATGATCTCATGACTCACAAAGCGTCTCCATCTGGAGCGAGGTCAGGATTCTCCTTTGCATAATCTGCATTTGCAAATTCTGACTGGCACATAAGGAAACCTGATCTGTAAGAGTCTGTGTGGAGAGAGTGTTGAATCTAAAACACAACATCTATGTAATGTTCTCGCCTACAGGAACTTTTACCATTGATACGATAACCTAAAAAATATTAGCTTTATTAAAAATGTTAATCCTTAAGCATTTTAAAGGTCCCATGAAGTGCTTTGAAAAGTGCATTATGCGTAGTTTGATGAAATCTTAACTAAAGCAAGTAGACGGGTATAAAGTAGCCCCCCCCCTCCACTTTTTAAAAAACAGCCAATAGCATTTAGTTTCTATCACAGTTCTGCCAGTAAGAAAGGTTGAGCTATAAAGCATTAAATGAGAAGCGTCTTGAAGCGGACAAGGCATGTCAGATACTAGAGAGAATTTGATTGGTCAGAAGATTTGACGAGACACTGAAGTATGAGGTGATGTCAAAATAAATGTTGATTAATTTAGGCAGAAGTGACAAAATGCAAGCTCTGAATGTTTAGATCAGGTTTACATGTTACATGTAAATATTACTATACAATTACTCCACCTCTCCAAATTGATTCAGACATGCCTGTTCATGTTTACAACGTTTAAGACAAGTACATTACAAGTAATTGCGTTTGAATGAGCTAAAAGTGAACAGTTATCCCTCACTTTCCTTTTTCAACTCATTTAATTACAGTAACTACTTACTTTGCAACTCATTACATCCAACACTGAGTGGGCCAGACTATGGTTACAGTTACAAACTCTTCTGACACTGCTGAAAAGTCAGTTTATGGTTTCAAAGGATTGAGTAACAATACTTATGGAAATCTGTGTATTTTTGACATCACTACAACCTCAGCAGCTTCAGTCTCTCCACTCACCCAGGCCAGCAGAGTCTCGCGTTCAGCCACATGATAGATGAGTTTGAGGGGTCGTGAAGCGCTGTGAATACGTCCGTGCAGGTCTCTGTACAGGTCCAGCAGTCTCATCCGCTCCTCTTCACTGCTGTATGGGGCCTCCATCTCTGGGCTGACACAAACATCACAAAAAAACAAAGGTGTCTTTATGCCTCTGATCTCATTTCTGTCTGGTCTTTCATAAATATTTCCAGAAATTGTATTAGTGGCGCTACAATGTACCGCACATCCCATGACAAACACAGCGCTCTCAATAAAAGCCATCAAACAATTGGATGAATTAGGAAAAACATGCTTTTCAAATCTGCTGAAATTCTTTTGTGAAATATCAGTGAGGGCAGCACAGGTTAAGCTCACAGATATGGTTGAACAGGGATTTTTCGGAGATGCTGAGGGAAAGGGTTTATCTTCTGTTATGTGTGTAAAACACACATAAAAGTGAATGATTACATCAAACTTTTCAGTGACTATGAGAAAAGGCAAGTAAGACGTTACAGCAGTGTTCTTGTAGTATTATTTTAGTAATTTTATAGTAAAAAGAACATATAAAGCACATCAAATAGCTAAAACTAACTGAAATAAATGTACTTTATGATTTTTTTTTTATTTTTGATGACATTTCTTTCAAAAGTAAAAAAATGCCATTTGTTTTGAATAAATTAACAAAAACAGGTGCCATTTTTTCAGAAATATATTCATTTTTAGACTATACAATGCCAATGTTTTAATTCCATGTTTGAGTTCACAGATGATAATTATATATTATATACTCTACTTAACAGCAATAATATACAATTTAGAAAATAAAGTCATGCTGCAGTGGAAAAAGAATTAATATTGTGTTTGACTCCTATGAGCTTACATCTCTGCAATGGCTCAAAGAACTTATTAATAAAGTCATCTGGAATGGCGAAGAAAGCGTTCTAGCAGGACTCCCAGAGTTCATCAGGATTCTTTGGATTCATCTTCAATGCCTCTTTCTTCATCCTTAATAATGTTCAAGTCTGGTGACTGGGCTGGCCAATCCTGGAGCACCTTGACCTTTGCTTTCAGGATCTTTGATGTGGAGGCTGAAGTATGAGGAGCTCTATCCTGCTGAAGAATCTGCCCTCTCCTGTAGTTTGTAATGTAATGGGCAGCACAAATGTTTTGATACCTCAGGCTGTTGATGTTGCCATCCACTCTGCAGATCTCTCACACGGCCCCATACTGAATGTAACACCAAACCATGATTTTTCCTTTATTAAACTTGATTTCTGTAAGAATCTTGGGTCTATGCTGGTTTCAATAGGTCTTCTGCAGTATTTGGGAGGATTGGAATGCAGTTCACCTGATGATTAACCAGAAAAATCTACTTCTGACATTTTTCTAAATAATCAACTAGAAGTCAAGTTATTATTTGTTGCTTTTACAACTGGGGTCGACGACAAGACTTTTGTCAGGTAGTGTATATAGCTTATATATGCTGTATAAGCTCTATGCATATAACCATTGTCAAGATTCAGAAGTTCAGGTTTACACAGAAAACAAGTACTGATAAACTTTGACAGTTAAGGGGAAAAGTTTACCAATATTTGGTGAAATAACCCATGATTCACCATTGTTGATTTTTCATAACTAACAGAATGAGAAGATATTTGGGTCATTAAAATTTATGAAAATGACAAATATATATATATATATATATATATATATATATATATATATATATATATATATATATATATATATATATATATATATATAAATGTTACTGGCATTTCTGCCTTTATTATGATAGGACAGTATAAATTGACAGGAAATTAAGTTGGAGAACGAGTGAGTAACTTTATCGGGATTGTAGGTGAATTTGTGACCATTCATGATTTCCTGTATATCTGCTTGCCTTTTTTTAAATCTAGCACAGGCAACAGATGAAAATTAGCCCTTGGGGCTAACTCAGGCTTATTAACAGTATTTACAGTTAGTTACTGAGCACTGTCTCTTTCAAAAATAAATGTAATAAATATAGAGGGGGATGGGATTGGGAAAGGTTCATAAGTGGGGTCTCAAGACGTTCACGTTTCCGATGAATCATCTGTTGAACTGCATCACAATCATCACAAATATTGCAGAAGACCTACTGGAACCCACAGGGACCCAATATTTTCACAGAAAATTAGTCTAGTTTGGTGAAGGAAAAAAAAATCATTGTTTTGGGTTAAATTCAGTATGGGGGTGTGCAAAAGATCTGCAGATTGGATGGCAACATCAACAGCCTAAAGAACCAAGACATTTGTGCTGCACATTACATAACAAACCACAGGAGAGGGCAAATTCTTCAGCAGCTCCTTGACCTTCTCATACTTCAACCTCCACATCAAAGTTCCTGAAAGCAAAAAAGGTCAAGGTGCTCCAGGATTGGCCCACCCAGATACCAGACATGAACATTATTAAGCATGTCTGGGTTAAGATGAAGGAGGAGGCATTAAAGATGAATCCAAAGATTCTTGATGAACTCTGGGAGTCACCACAGAGATGTATGGATGCAGTCCTCCAAGCTCATGGGAATCAAACACAATATTACTTATTTTTCCACTGCAGCATGACTTTATATTCTATACTGTACATTATCTCTGTAAAGTGACACGACTTTTGTCTAAGCAAAGTCAGACCTTACTATACTAAATAAATCATTTAAAATTCAAGGCATGATCAGATTTTATTTTGGTAAAATAAGCGTAATCTAGAGGCCTTTGCCTTTCATATAAGCCACTGCTGATACCAAATGATCAGCTAGAAGATAATATTTGTTGTTCCTAAAACTTGGATGACAACAAGACGTTTGTCAGGTAGTGTATACAAGTCTCCTGAGATTCTCAATTCTCAGTCGCAAACAACTCACCTGGTGAACTGGGTAAGCTGGCGATGGTTGTCGGGCACGTCGAAGGGCTTGTACATGAAATGCCTGAGATCAGACACTCCCACCTGACTGACGCTGTACGACTGAGCCTTCGCTATGGACTTGAGCGCATTCTGTGTTTGCATAGCCTCCTCAATCTTCCTCTTACACTCGGCCACTGAATAAAAGGCCTCTTTATCAGTGGAGAGAAGAACCAGACAAACAGTACATTCAGGAGGGTCCAAATAGGAGATGTAGGCATAAAAATAACAGTCAGGGTTAAAACTGGGCAAGCAGATGGGTGTCCAGATTTCCCCGGCCTGAAAGGCGGACGAGGCTCCAATAAGGTTTAGCAGAAGATGGAGGTCGGCCGGCTCCAGTCGGGCATCATCAATGACCATCTTCTCCTGAACTATGGTCAGCAGCTGGTTCTTTGCTATGAGGATGGAGAAGACCAAGTTTGGTGTGATGGCCTTCTGAAGGATCTGACTGAGGGAGTCCCTGAGAGATGAAGCTAAGGGGAGACAGTGGACGGCGCAGAGTAAGAAACTGGGGTCCGAGTCCACCAGGTTTAGGAGGCCATCCAGGATCTTCTCGGAACCGGCCAGCAGGCGGCGCAAGTCGTAGTTCTTCTTGTGCTCGAAGATGCGCGTAATGCTGGCCTGTGTGAGCATGCTGACGATCTGGTTGTAGACGTAGACAAGCTCGTTGCGGAGCTGCTGCTCGGACTGACGGCTGCAGGACACGGACACCAGAACCAGAGGACCACGCTGCATGAACACCACTGTGTGCTCATCTGTCACAAAGAACAATACAAAGTCACTTAAGCAGCTGAGTGTGTGCTATTTAGGTAGATGGTTTAATTATTATTATTTTAATTCAATAAACTGATCCAAAGTGACACTTATATTATAATTAAAATGATTTATTATACAAAAATACTGTTTTATTAGTCAAAGAATCTTCAATGTATCTCCTAAAAAAGTTTATTTAAATTTTATATACATAATATCTGATATTGCAGTTTTCCCCATTTAAATCGCAGCAAAATAAATGTTTGAAATATTTGTTCAGTTGAAACTATTAATTGTGTACATGTTATTTCTGTTTTACATAAAATAAAAAAGCAGAATTGGTGAGCATTCCACTTTACACTTTGACTAGGTACAGATGTGTGCCACACCCAGTGCAACAGGTCTGAATTATATGCAGCAGTAGGGCTATAAAGGCATTTCATGCTGAGCCTAACTTTCAACCAGGTTTACATCCAGCTGATACAAATTCTGGCCCTAGGCAATAACAAACGCAAGAGAATTTTGATGACTGAAAATGCAAATTAATGAAAACAATGCCAATATTGTCTCTGTGCTACCTACAACAACTTTATTACTTGCCAAAAATCTGTTTATGGTGCAAACTAAATGTAACACAGTAGGATAAAATTCTACAGGTTATGTTTTTTAACCTACAGAGTTACATAAATATCATACATCTACATGGAAAATCAAATCAATTAAACAAAATTAAGCACCTAAATATCCTTGATTGGCTACTCAGTGTTAGGTGATATTAGCGGGAGCAGCTTTAACATTCTAGAAAGTATCTGATTGGGCAACCCCTGAGTGCAAGAGGAGTCATCAATATTTTCACGTGATCGCACACCTAGGCTTGTTTTTTTAAGCTTACCATGGGAACGACTAGCGTAGATGAGACAGAGTCATGATGTCAAGACTGATGTCATGTTTATTGTCCTGTTCGGGTAATAAGACGTGTTTTTGTCAATCGGGTCACAGGTTAAACAAGAGACACATTCCTGTTCAAATCTGGCATTTAAATTGGGTTATAGTCTATTTTCCACTTCCGACCATGTTGTACTGTACTTCTCTGATCTTTTAATCTAATACTGTGGGGGAAAAACCTATTAATCATGTTCTTTTTGTCAACGTTTGTACAGTTAGTACTAAAGCAATTAAATACCAATGAACATGTTATACAGGTTTATTTTCTTTTTTTTCCAACTAGGCATGGGCTGGTATAAGATTCTGATGGTATGCTTACCTTGGATAAAATAATATTTCATGGTATTGTAATAATTATTGCTCTAAAATATATTCTTTTTTTAATGTCTGGGTAAAAATCAAAAACTTTTTTTCCCTTTAAACAAAATATATTTAAAACATATATATAAAACATTTAAAATAATTTGGAGTACTCCATCATAGTTTGGAGCTGTAAACATGTCAAGCTGAATAATGACAATGAATCCTTGACTTCTGCTGTCTTCATTAGATTAAAAAAACACAGATTTCATTACAATTTAAAACGCCATCTTGGATATCATTACTTCTGAAGATACTGTTAAACAAAACGTAAAAAAACCTTACATATACTATAGAAACGTGGTATACGTGGTATACCTTGAAAAAAAATTATCATCCCATGCCTATTTCCAATGAGTTCATATTTCTTAGTACAAAGTTTACACAGTTTCAAAGTTTTAACACGTATATTTTGAACACTATTGTCTTCATTTAAATTTTTTGGACGGTAAGATAAATATTTTAGAACATCAAAAGTATTTATACAGGGGGATTTATGAAAAAATATATAATGCAAAGGTACAATCATTTATCATGTGAAAAATGAGGATGTAATAATGTATAAACAACATTAATGACTTTATGTGTTCAATAAAATATACACAATACTCTGAAAAACAAACAAACAAAAACAAATAGTGAAATCAAATGAGCGGCATGAGTGTTTTGGATGAAATGAAGTGTTAAATATATTACATTTATTAGTTAAATATACACAGTACTGTATAGGCAGAAGGAACATTTTAGAATATACGAATGCGTATGGCAACTGTTGTTTTTAGCAGTCTTTAAGTTAAGTTTTGTCCAGGTAATGACACACAGGGCAACTTTTTATGCAGTGTTGTTGGACAATATTGTAGAGTGATGTTGCTAGACTACTTTGCTGCTGAAAACTGGTAACAAAATTTTTAAAAGTGAAAAAAAGTGAAATGCAAGTTATTTTGTGTATATGTAGTGTGTGTGTGTGTGTGTGTGTGTGTGTGCAGTTACTCCCATGAAACTAAAACAGGTAGTAGTGATTAATACTTTTTACTCTAGTACTTGTTTCAGTCAGTGTAGTCAGTATTTCAACTTCTACCATAGTTGTTTTAAGCATGAGTATCTGTACTTCTACTTGAGTAAAGGATGTCTGTACTTTTGCCATATCTAGCTTCAAATTAGCACTCCTCCTTTTTTTTTTCCTCACAGCAAACTAATAGTTTGAGGGGTGTGGCTAAGCTGTCAAACTGACATCATCAGAGAAAGACAATCATTTCAGAAATGAAAACAAAGGGTAAAAATCTGATTAAAAATTACCAAACAGGTTTTTGTTTTTTTTCAGTGGTTTAACATATTAATTGTCCCCCTTAAGACTAACAATGTGCATTATTAAAACAATAAAAATTTTGATTAAATAAACATTGAAACATTTACTTTGATTAACCTAATTGTTTTAGCTACTGCAATATAAAACATCATATTTACCAGAGTAAACAGAACGAATGATGTTGTCTCCACTTTGCACGAATGACACCAGAGCCATCATCACCCCCATGGTGGATGAAAGAGCCTCCTCACTTCCGTATCGGGAATAGATAGGCTTCCCTGCCTCACTCAACACGAACACATGCTTCCTGTGCTGCCTCCAACTATCCGCTGTCACGTCCTCGTTCCTGTGTGACGGGGGTCCCAGAGGTGTGCCGGTCTCGGACAAAGGGGACGAGGCTCCTTTCATGCCCATTCCCTGCTCTTCCATCTTCCCCCGAGCTAAAACAGTTACAACAAACTCACCAGAGTCATCATTGCTATTATCCACTAATGCAGAGTCTTGGGATGCTTTCCCAGAATCCGTCTCTGAACCGCCGGGACACAGAGAACGGTCATCCTCAACATGGAGCTTCTGCATTTCTGTTGAAGGCTCTTGTGGTAGGACGTCCTGCTCGGATGAATGATCTGCTGACTCCAAAAGCCCCTCTGGGTCTGAAGGCGTCCTGTGATCTTCATTCACACAATGGTTTTCAGATGGGACGTCAGTGTCTGTGTAGGAAAGCAAGGAGTCAAATCTTAAAAGTCTTAAAAACTTTATTTTAATTAGGAATTTTAGATGAATTTTACAAAAATGAAGAGAAAAAAGAAACAAACAAATACAAAAAAAGTGGCAAAAACAGAGCAGTTAAATGCAGTTGGCATAGGTAATAAGATAAAAATGATCAATGATCAAAAATGAAAATGAATTCACTGTTTACTCTCCTTCAAGTGCTTCCAAACCTTTTTGAGTTTCACAAAATGAGATATTTTGAAGAAAGCTGAAAACCTGTAACCATTGACTTCCACAGTGGAAAAAAACACATACTATTAAAGTCAATGGTTACAGGTTTATTAAAAATATCTTCTTTTAAAATCGACAGATGAAAGAAAAACATGTTTTTGGTTATTCATCCATACTAATGTTAAAAATGAGTATCAGTCATCTCTACCTGACGAAAGTCTTTTCGCCTATTCAAGTTTTAGGAACAACAAATATTATCTTCTAACTGATCATTTGGTATCAGCAGTGGCTTATATGAAAGGCAAAGGTCTTAAGATTACGCTTATTTTAGCTAAATAAAATATGATCATGCCTGGATTTTTAATCATTTAATTATGACAGTAAAGTCTGACTTTGTTTAGACAAAAGTCGTGTCACTTTAACAGAAATAATGTACAGTATAGAATATAAAGTCATGTTGCAGTGGAAAAACAGTTAATATTGCGTTTGACTCCCATGAGCTTGGCGGACTGCATCCATACATCTCTGCAATGACTCAAATAACTCATTAATAAAGTCATCTGGAATGGCAAAGAAAGCATTCCTGCAGGACTCCCAGAGTTCATCAAGATTCTTTGGATTTATGCCTCCTCAACCCAGACATGCTAAATAATGTTCAAGTCTGGTGACTGGGCTCGGCAATCCTGGAGCACCTTGACCTTCTTTGCTTTCAGGATCTTTGATCTGGAGGTTGAAGTATGAAAAGGAGCGCTATCCTGATGAAGAATCTGCCCTCTCCTGTGGTTTGTTATGAAATGGGCAGCACAAATGTCTTGATATCTCAGGCTGTTGATGTTGCCATCCAATAATCCACTCTAGCCATGATTTTTCCATCACCAAACTTGACAAAAATTTGTAAGAATCTTGGGTCCATGTGGGTTCCAATAGGTCTTCTGCAGTATTTGTGATGATTGGGATGCTGTTCAACATATGACTCATCGAAAAAAATCGACCTTCTGCCACTTTTACAAATGATCAACTAAACGTCAAGTGTGTTGCTCTTCCAGCTGGGATCAACAACAAGACTTTTATCAGGTACTGTAGATCTTATAATGTTTTAGAGGGTACAAAAATAAGTCTAGCTATCCACAATATTTACTTTGTAATAATAAAGTGCATTAAAACATTACCTGTGTGATCAGGACATTGAGGAAGGATTGATGGATCACATATCTTCACCTCCTCCATATTCCCACTCTCTTGACCGTTGTGATCCATGTCAACATGCAAACAGCTGCATTTATGATGAGAAACTGGCTTAAAACACTTATAAGATGACAAATAAATCAGCGAAGCAATTTTAATGACTAAAGGTTTGTACTTAATATACAAAATTATAGTCTGAAGCCGTTTAATCAGATTACTGCTGTTATCCCATATCTGCAGCGTCCGTCACGCACGTCTTCTGATAGTTTAATAGCGATAAATCGCGATTTGTCAAATAATAAAAGCTGGTTAAATCACAGAGGTCCTGAGCAGATTACAACAACACAGTAACTTGAGCTCGTCTACGTCATTTGTGCGAAAAGCTCATGAAGTCTCTCGATAAATGACTGCTCTCGTGAAGCGCTTTCCTTCTGCTCACAATCACATTCATGTCTGATATATTAAATTATCAACGATGATTTAAATGCAAAATCATCTTTCGCTTTCGTTCAGCGCAACTGACTCAGCTCTGCTGCCGGTGCTCCCTCCAGGAAGCTGGACGTTAAAACACTGCAAAACAAATATCCACAACCACTTCCGGTTGATGCTTCAAAATAAAAGACGAGGAGTAAATATAATAGCCTATAAGTGCTGATACGTTTACTGTAAGGCCACCATATGTTTGTGTTTCAAGTTACTTTTTGTGAAGATTAAGTGTCAAATATGAGTGACATAATGTTAAATGTCATTGAGTGTATATGTATTTATGTGAAATTATTGTTAAAAACTACAATTCTGAAAAATTTGATCATATTATAAATTGATGTAAAAATGTTCTTTCTAACAGAGGTTGCTCTTAATTGATTGAAGAACATTGGAAATACTTTAATATGCCACCAGATGATTACTTCTCAAAAAAAAGTCTGATAAATGTTTCCCCAAAGAAAGTTTGTTAGAGCAGTGGGTCCCAAAATAAGGGTCTGGACAATCGGGGGGTCTTTTTGGCTTAGTCCCTTTATTAATTAGGGGTCGCCACAGCAGAATGAAACGTCAACTTATCCAGCACATGTTTTACATAGCGGAAACTTTCTGATACCTTTATGCCACTCAAATACATTAAAAATAAATACAGACCAGAACAGAACATGGATGATGATTCCCAAGTGGCGTTCTCCAAAATTAAACCAAGGATAGTCTTGTGGTGGAAATTGTGCCCACCAGTCTCATTAGGTGAAGTTAAGATGAAATAAAAAAAAAATTAATAAATAACAAAGAAATAACATGGTTGTTACAATAATGCACTTTTTTATGCTCGTGTTTATATACATATGGTTTATATAGGCCTATTGTTGTGTGCAGGGGCAGAATTAATAATAAGTGAGGTAAGCAGCCACTTAGGGCCCCAGGGAATTCGGTGGCCCCAACCAATTCCAAGAAGCCTATATTAATCGTATAGCTCTGTTAAAAAATTTCTATCATATATTGTAAAATCTGTTTAAAACCATCAATATTTTAATGTTATTACTTATGTTCAAAACCGGGGGCCCCCATAAATAGTGGAATGTTCCTTTCATAGGGAGCAAACTTTTCCAAATGGGTGGTGACCATGGTGGCCATTTTGAAGTCGGCCATCTTGGATCTAACTTTTGTTTTTTTCAATAGGAACAGAGTCATTTGACACATCAAACGTATTGGAAATTTCACAAGAAAAACAATGGTGTGCTTGGTTTTTAATGTAACTTTATTCTTTCATGAGGTATTTACAAGTTTCTGTCCTAGATAAACAGTTTCCTGATAAGTGGACTGGTCACTGTGGGACAGTTGAATGGCCCCCAGTGTTTCCCGATCTGACCCCCTTAGAGTTTTATCTTTGGGGTCATCTGAAGGCAATTGTCTATGGTGTGAAGTTAGGTTAATATCACCAACCATTCCCATTTTATGAAGGTGTATCCATATAAATGGCCCACCCTGTATAAAGAAAGTGTTTTGACTTTCAATACTAGGGCCCCATACCTGGGACTGCTTAGGGCCCGCAAGTAACTAAGTCCGCCCCTGTTTGTGTGTGCAACATTTGTATTATTACAATATACCCACCTCCAAGAATCGCAGGCTGAAATGTTTGGGAACCGCTGTGTTAGAATAACAGGTTTTCAGAATCAGAATTATTCCACCAGATATTGATTTCCTCAAGTTAAAACATAATTATTGTCAAAAGTGCTGTACAAATAAACTTCAATAAAATTAAAATAAAACACTGTAACGGTGTTGTCTAACGTTTGATATAATGTCTGAAAACATGACATGACACTATTGTATGACTTCATGCCAAAAGTAGGCTCTTAACTTCTCTGTAGACAGATGTATGTACAAATGTATTTCTGAACTTACTGTTCTTATTATTTTAATGGACATTGAACAAAAAGGCTTATGCATGCTCAAGCAGTTGATATTATACTCTTCAGGCATTTTTTTAGAATGAAAACTTATGATCCAAACAGTAATAATTATTAAATTGAGTTATTGAATATAGTATTTTTAAACAATTCAATGAGGTAAAGGAAACTTATTGTTTATTTTAATCTGTATTGCAAGAATAAAAGAAAAGACCTGTATTGTTCAAACTTAAAATGATTTGTTTATTGTATGTGAGCTAATGTGAATTTTTAAAGATATGCCTAATTAACATATTATTTAAAACTGATTAGATGTTTCAACTAAAACTAGAGTAGATTTAGTCAACTAAAATACTATGACATTTACTTAACTGAAACTACAACAGATTCAAAAGATTAAAATATGACTGGAGGTAATTGGCATTTTCATCAAAAGACTGAGACAAAAAGAGAATCAAATTTTCTGTCAAAATTAACACAAAAAAACACATTAATCAAAGTAGTGCGATGACATATATTAAACAGTTTGATTAAATAAGTAAATGGAACCTAGCTCATACGGGCCCATAAGAGCTTATAACAAATGCTTCATTTGTGGTTCATTGTAATAAACAAAAACAGCATTAATAAAGACCGTGGGTGCCCAAAACTTGATGGAGGGCCGTGGTAAATATATCAAACTGTACAAAATTGCCATGAATGAATTTCTCATTTACTTCAAAATAAATAGAAAACATTAAGCACATTAACTACAGAAACTGTAAAGTTTGTCTTGCGTACAAAATTCGTTTCTACGTTTTTGCAAATGTCACTTGAGGGGCTCCGTAAGATTTTCACGAGTTTTGAGAAAGTTTTTAACTTTACACAAATATACATGGCAAACTTACTGTAGCAGATTTTGGACTAGATTCACCAAACACTTCTGAAAGTGTATAAACCTCAAAGAATGAATCTGAATCTTTAAATAACCAATCATTGCATTGTCATGTACCGGTCAGTAGGGTTGTTGCTCTACCATTAATTACTGTTATGCTACTATACCAGCTAAAGTATTGTAATACCAAGGAGTTTTGTGATACTGTAATTCATGACTCAAATCAATGAAATCAAGAAAATTGTCAGAAATACTATTTTTATTTGTTATAGGCCTGTTTGAATTTAATCCATAATTCCCTTAATTTTGAAAAAAAAGCATTTGCACACACCTTCACCTAAAATGCATTAGTTCTTTTGTTTATTTTGTAGATAACTGACCAACAAAGATACATTAAAATAAAGATACAAATTACACTAAACAAAATTTGTTACAAAAAGAGCATTTTACCAACAAAATTTGGCTGTATGAAGTGGTAAAAAACTGTTTCAATGTTTAATGTTTTTCATCTATTGTTTTATTTTTATCTTATCAGGTAGTCCAAAGTAATACAAAATTTCACTTTGTGCGTCGTTCTTTTTAAGAGATTGTTACGATTGTTGTATCTACGACATCATATTGACAGAACAGGAATGAACTGATTCAGATGCGAGTTCGAACTAAAGCATTGGAAAGCGGGCGATAGGTTACCATAAAAGGTGTGAATTCTACACAGTTTTGCAATCTTAAAGGGCTCCACAGACTATTCTAATAAAATGGACTATTGTTGCACAAACGTGTAAGCATTTTAGCGACTTTTCCACTTGCAACATTATGTATTGTAGATAGACTGTTACTACCGTTTACAAACTACATCGGCACCTCCAGTATTTTGGAGCCATAGTATCGTGATACTACCATATTACCATTAAATAGTGCAACCCTACCGGTCAATGAAGAAAAATCAGAGAGAAAACACATAGTTGTACTAATTAGCATAATTTATTCTTCTCAAATAATGAAAACACCCGATTATTATAATAAACAGCTGAGATGATATTTTCAATATTAATTTTACAATGTTGATTTAAACATGCACCTAACTAGGTCCATGAAGTTTAATGAAATTAAGGAAAGTAGGTTAGCAAAAAACGATGGAGAAAGATCAGAATAGAGTGGTATTGAAACAGAGGAAAGGAAGAAACATTGCATGATGTTAAAACAGAGAAACGCAGCTGTGGTTTGTGCTGTCCAATGTATCAATTGCAGTCTGGAGAAGATTCTCTGTGCATTGCATTTTTCAAGCTATCGAGGTATTCTTGTTGTGAAGCAGCCAAAACTGAGGCCAGCACGTCGTCGTCTTCCCAATCTGTTAAACCTAAAGACAAATTAATTATTTAAGCTCTATAAAAAGACATAAAATATCAATCTTCAAGCTTTTATGCTGGAGCTCAATATGGCATACCAAAGGCAGTAGGTGACATGTCCTGCATAAGAGTCCTGTAGCCCAGGGTTGGGTAGAGAGACACCAGAGAAGAGTTGGCTGAAGACTGATGACTTGGACCTTTAAAATAATTCAAGAAGAAGCGGTTACTAAAGGCCTCAAGTCAATATACTGTACTCCAGGCTAAATTAAAAAATAAACTAGTGTGATGCCATTTCTAACATAATCAGGGTAAAAATAAAGGACATTTTTAGTTAATTGTGGGAGTTTCCAAAAGCTTGTGTGCAGTATTATTTTACATATGATTGTTTAATTTCTATAGCAGGGGGGGTCTCAGTCCTGAAGAGTTTAGCTTCAGCTCTTATAGTCTGCGTAAACAGGATGTTGCTGCATACTTTTATTTTAGTATGATGAGGTTTTCAACCAAAAAGATGTGCAGAGTATTATTTTTAAGTTATTTTTATGCTCCTACCCTCATCTTTACCTTGCAGCAAACTAACGGTTGGAGGGGCGTCGCGAAGTATATTTCACCCAAGCAAAAGAACAGACCTTGATTACCAAAACTTTTTTTCAATGGATTTTCCTGCACAAATTATCTGTTCACCCTAAGACTAGCAATGTGTGCTGGCAAAATTAACGTTACACATTTTAATTTTATGCCAACAAATGATCCAGCTAATTAAGATCTTGCTAGTCAGACCTGGAAGTTTTAGGTAGGTGAGTTTAGGCAAGCTGGCACAAAACTCTGCAGGACATTGGTCCTCCAGGACGGAGTTTGAACACCCCTCTTCTACACTACCTAACAATAGTTTTGTTGTCGATCCCAGTTATAAGAGCAACAAATAATTACTTGACTTTTAGTTGATCATTTGGAAAAGTGGCAGAAGGTAGATTTTTCAGATGAATGATCTGTTGAACTGCATAACAATCATCACAAATACAGCAGAAGACCTATTGAAACCAGCATAGACCCAAGATTCTTACAGAAATTAGTCACAAATTCTCACAGAAAATTCTCAAAGAAAAAAGTTTGGTGAAGGAAAAATCATGGTTCGTGGTTACATTCAGTATGGGGGTGTGCAAAAGATCTGCAGAGTGGATGGCAACATCAACAGCCTGAGGTATAAAGACATTTGTGCTGCCCATTACATTACAAACCACAGGAGAGGGCAAATTCTTCAGCAGCTCTTTCTCATACTTCAGCCTCCACATTATAGTTCCTGAAAGCAAAGAAGGTCAAGGTGCTCCAGGATTGGCCCACCCAGATACCAGACATGAACATTTTTGAGCACGTCTGGGTTAAGATGAAGGAGGAGGCATTGAAGATGAATGCAAAGAATCTTGATGAACTCTGGGAGTCACCGCAGAGATGTATGGATGCAGTCCTCCAAGCTCATGGGAATCAAGCAGAATATTAATTCTTTTTCCACTGCAGCATGACTTTATATTCTATACTGTACATTATTTCTGTTAAGTGACACGACTTTTGTCTAAGTAAATCAGACCTTACTGTCCTAATTAAATAATTAAAAATCAAGGCATGATCATATTTAATTTTGGTAAAATAAGCGTAATCTTTGCCTTTCATATAAGCTGCTGATACCAAATGATCAACTTAAAGTCAAGTTATTCTCTGTTGTTCCTAAAGGATAGGCGACAAGACTTTTGTCAAGAAGTCAATAGCTAAAAATGGTTATGCTGAGTTTACACGAAACATGGAATTAAGTGTTTGTGTGAGTACTTTACATACTAAGTAAATGCAAATGCATGAAAAAAGGAGAATTATTGTTGCATGGCACAAATGAAGCGGAAAAATTGCATCTACCACGCATGTTAAATAAAATGAACTCAAATTCAACTCAAACATAATTAATCTCGAGCAGAACATTTTTTTGAGGTTCAAAACATCTTGTGAGTGATGAAGTGCTCTGCGTTTACTGTGAACCCCAAAATAAGACTTTTAGACATTTAGGGTCTTCTCACTATGCAACTTGATGTTTAACAGACATCTAATCAGAGATAGCTTGGCTAAAACAAGACTAAATTTGGGCTGTCTAATAGACATTTATGACTAGGCGATAACCGTTTTTAAGGAATACCGCGGTTTAGGAAAGTCAAGGTTTTAAAACCGATGAACTTTTCGGTTATACCGTTCCTACAGTACATACAAGATTATTATTTTTTTTGTTCGTATATTTTTGTTTGTTTTTTTTAGGACATCAGCGGAAAAGATATCCTAAGATTTTGCTTTAAATTATAATGAAATCTGTGTTTTTGAAACTAATGAAGACAGCAGAAGTCAATAATTCATTTATCTGACATGTTACTGACAATAATATGCATTGTGTTCAAATAGCTGAAAAAGTTTTTATTTTTTACTCAGAGATTTAAAAAGAGTATATACTAAAACAGTAATCACAATACTGTGAAACTGTGAAATTTTTATCCAAGGTTATCATACCATCAGAATCTTATACCGGCCCATGCCTATTTATGACAGCATAAATTTTGCCTTGTTTTAGCCAAGACGTTGTTTTTAATTGATTTTAGACTCATATAGACACAAATAAATGTTTGCTGGGTTTGTTCTGTTGTACTTATATACACTTGCAATATGTTTATTATATTACATACAAGTGTAGAGTTTAAATGTTCTCCCATTGTTTCCTCCGGGTGCTCCGGTTTCCCCCATGGTCCAAAAACATGTGATATAAGTGAATTGAACTAAATTGGCAGTAGTGTATGAGTGCATGTGTGAATGTGAGTGGATCGGTGTTTCTACTGGATTGCAGCTGGAAGGACATCCAGTGTGCAAAACATATAATGGAATAGTTGGCGGATAAATAAGACAAATAAGCCTGATAAGTAAAGGGTTAAGCCAATGCCCTCTCCTTTAGAAAAAAATCCCCCCAATACCAATAAAGCTATTCAAGTCTTCTAAAGGGAAATATCCCAATGTCAATATAGGGCAGCTCTAATTCACTGTAAGTAAATCGAGAAGTACATATAGTGTGAGCAAAGAAAACACAAGTACACAAATACGTACCCGGGGCACATGGTGAAGGGGGTTTGGGAAGCACCAGCGAAGCTCCAGCAGGGGACGGGGGTTTGACAGAAGGTTCAGCATGAGCCGGGCCTGGATGTTCTGGAGAGGGTGCAGAGCTACGCTGACGAGGGGACCGACAACCCCAGTCCTCCAAACCACTGGATGTGGCGGCAGTGGCAGAGCTGCAGGTTGCACTAGCTTTACGAGGCTGAAAGGAGAAGAAAAGATGTTCATGTTTCAAGCCTGAACTTGCTTTAATTAATACAGTGGGGTGGTTTCAAACTAGGGCTGGGTATCTACTCAGATGTCCTTATCCAATTATGATTCTCAAGCTCTCTATTTATTTTGATTCTTCATTCAGTTAATTGAATATAGATTTTATACAAAAATCTTACACAAAAATTGCTTACAACTGCTATTATTATTAATATAACTGCTGACATTTCTAACAAATATGAAAAATGCATAATAAGAAATATTGAAGTTTAATATATGAAATTTTGAAGTTATATATACCTTAAGACATTATACATTAGTATCTATTTGACTGTTAAATTTGTAATATGCCACAAAACCTCTTTTTGCATGATACTTTAGGTGCAGAGAATTTTTAATTAAAAAAAAAAATTCAAATTTTTAAATTTTACTTTAAGATTAAATATCCAATCAAGTGCATTAAAAAAATATGTTTTTTTTTAATTTCCTACCTGTCTTGCTTGCTTCTCCTGGTCCTGAAGCCACTGCAGATAGGACTCACGAGCCACTTGCTCCTCGATGGCCTCATTGGTGGCCTCCCAATCTGTTGCTCTCTTCTTATCCTCCAGCATCTGCTGCTCAATCCAAGACTCTTCAGATGTCTTTATAGCATTTTTCATGAGACACTGGTCAGCAAACTGCATTGAGACAGCATAGCAGACGTTAACAGAGAACAGCTCATTTATGACATCAGACTAGGGCTGGGTGATAACACAATAATGATTATTATCACAATATAACTTGCATATTCAATGAGAAACTAAACAGTGCTGCTTGTTTGTTCTGCATAGACTGTTTATCTTTGCATTTCTTTACATGTGGAAAGTCTGGCAAATAAAAGCACTTTAATTTAGCAAAGAACACAAATGACTTGATGATTTAAAGCTAGATTAAAGTGCTCTGATGCTATCAAGTGCATTTACAGGATCTTCTTCAAGAAGAAACTCTGTGCCTGAACGATACAGCTACAAGACTTTTATCAATGTAATTTTGTTTTACTATGAAAGTCTTTTGGCCCATATCAACCAGCCCTAATGAACAGTCATGTTGGTGTTTCTTATTTAAATCACATACCCCTGGTTTGAAGGAGGGCAGGCCCAGCCCGACCCCGACACTGGCCTTGTATGGATTCACCACAGAGTTATAATGGATGTTTTTGTGGTAACTGACACGTATTGGATCATCATTGTTCTCTTGGATGCCATGGAAAATATTAATTGGCTCTGAAAGATTGGAGCGGTCCGGTAAAATTGAAAATATATCCTCCACATTTGGTCTAAATGATGCAAACAACTCAATAGACATTAACTAACCTATGCCATACTGGTAAACCTCCACCGGTCGGTTGAACATTTCTGCCATGGCCTGCATCTCAATGTGGTTTCCATGGCAGTTGTTCTTCCTCTTCCTGTTAATGTATGTGGTGAAGTCCTCGGTGACGTAACTGGAGAAGTAATCTGCATTTTTTGTCTGCAATCAAAGCACAAACAATGACTCTAATGGTCCAACATTGAAAAAAAAAAAGCTAGTAAGTATTATTTATTTTTAAAATATTGAACTTATTTACCAAATAATCCATACATTGCTTCCGTATCACATCGTGCATATCTTGGTCCCCGTATATTTGATCAGCTTTAAAATATAAAATTAAAAAAGAGAGAAATATTAATAGATAAAATCGATTTTGGATACATTCTAAAAAAAGAACACAAGAAAATGACCACTGAATATCTTAAAATAGCAACTAATTAAAACTGCTAATAAACACTACATTACTATATAATAAAAACAAAAATAGTGCTATTGACAAGTTTCTTCTTAATGACTCAAAAATTGTTAAATCATTTTGTAGAGACTGCACTTAGAAAGGTACTAACACTAATGGTGTAACGGATCACAAATCTCACGGTTCAGATCACATTATGACCTTTTAGTCATGGATCGGACCATTTTTCGGATCAGCCAAAAAGGGGAGGAGACAAATGTAATATGCTTTCCATTTATTACAAAAACAGTACTGCAAGAAACTTTTGGTTTTAGCAAACAGAACCTAGAACCTGTAATTTTATTAAAAATAAAATATAGAAATAATCAGCTCAATAAAAATAAATAGTAAAATATTCAGTACTGTGAAAAATTCCCTGTTACTACTACTGTAGCTGATAACGCTACACATAGAAATCTAACATTATTTGTGCAATTCATATTTATTTTTAGTCTCATTTTCAATAAATGATGCAGTTATTTACTAATAAAACTTCATGTTTCATTACCATATGTGTCATTTTTGAAGAATTATTCAGTGGCATATTTTTGATGGCTGGTTGGTTGGCTACCTATTGGTTAAATAATGTAATTGCTGTTTACAACTTTCATTTTTAAACAAATGACAGTGATTTTAATCTTTACCATAAACATCAGTGTTTTCATCTAAACTATAAACTATTATCCGAGTACTTCTGTGTTATTTGCCTGTTTGTAACAGTCAAAAGACTAAAAACTGAATCTCTTTCTTGATTTTTGCATTTTTCAAGCACAGATTTCAATTTGGTGATTCGAAGGGTTAATAAACCTATGCAAATCACCATCATTTATAATTGATGTTGCATGGGTGCTAAGATCCCGATCTTTTAATGATTAATAGTGCTGCTTACACTGAATGGATTAATGCAGGCTAAACAAAAAAATTAAAGAAAACACTTTTAATAACCTTAAAAAAACACCACATCCTGAATAACCTAACACGACTTATCATTATATTTACAGGAAAGCCTAAATCTTTTTATACATGTGATTTGAATGACGCTAGAGGCGATCTCTCTGTGACCATTACAAATTTATGATTAATCTACCACTAAAAAAAGTATTTTAATGTGTGCGTTCCGAACCATGGGATATGATCCATACCAATCAGGAATCAACAGTGATCTGTTACACCTCTTGCTAACACAATATAAAACGCAAACAAAATAAATTATACACTGTTTATTATTTGAATACATTTATTTCCATGATTACTCCAACACGGAAAATATTATTTCAGCTCATAATATATATGGAACTCAAAAAAAAAAAATTTAATTTGCAACATTACCAACTGCTCTGAAAAGACACGCTCCATCTTCCTTCATTTTTTTTATTTCAAAGCCTTTCTTTTCCCTCAATGCTTTCTCAAACCATTCTTCTTGCTGTAGGCCAAAAAACAAAGTACATTACAGCAACAATGAATACTTGTATCACCAAAAACAGACAAAGCATCCAAATAAAACATTTGAACCCTAAAAATAATAGTGTTTTGAGCGTTCGCTCAAACATGTAAATGTCACCTTTTGTTACACACTAAACAGATTTATTTTTTTGATATACAAATCCAGAGAAAATCTGCAGACAATTCAGACAGAAATAAAAACAAGTCATACATTAAAAATCCTAATTTTCTTAGTCATTGAATACATTAGACTAGAAATGGCCAATATCTGGGTGACACAGTGGCTCAGTGGGTAGCACTGTCGCCTCACAGCAAAAAGGTCACTGGTTCGAGTCCCAGCCTGGCCAGTTGGCATTTCTGTGTGGAGTTTGCATGTTCTCCCTATGTTTGGGTAGGCTTCCTCTGAGTGATCTGGTTTCCCCCACAGTCCAAAGAACTGGTCAAGGTGAACTGATAAACTAAATAGGCCTCATTGTAAAAATGTGATTGAGTCTTTACCCTTGTAGAGAGACTGTAGAGACATTGTAGAGATTTAAACACACTAATGTATTACAATATTTACATAATAATTTGATATATAACAGCCAATAAAGACAAGAGAAGGTATTAAACCTTTCTATCAATTACTGGAGCAGCAGCTATTTATTCAATTAATGTTTTAAAGAATGACACATCAACATACCTGCTCGGCTGTGGCGGGGTCCACAAGCTGAAGTCTGGCCGCATTCTCATACTCATCCTCACTGTTGTTTCCTCCAGCTCCTTCCTCGGGTTCGGACGCTGGACTCCCGCCTCCTCCTCCTCCGCCGCCCACTCTCCCTCCTCCACCTGTCAAACCGCTGGAGCAGACCGCTTGCCGTCTGCGCTTGCTGAGTCCGGGTCCCGAGCAGCAGCTTCCGACACCGCCTGCTCCGCACGGTAACTCGACCCGAGTTCCCGAGTTCGCGCTTCCTTCACACTGCACGAGCGGAGCTCCAGCGATACCAGGTTGCGGGGAGGCCGCCTGCGGGCGAGCGCTTGCTTCGATCCGCCGCTCCTCTCTGGAAGTGTGCGGTGTGGCCTGGTATGTCCACGGCGGCGGAGAGGCCCTTGATCGGGACCCCGGTCGTCCCGCGAGGGGGTGAGGGTGCGTCTCAGAGCCACCTCTTCTGTCCGGTTCGTCCGTGTGATCACCGCCACCGCCTGCGGACACCGGTTTCTTCTTCGGGAGGATTGTCATCGCTGGCCAGCTTGCGGTGATTTGTGTTGTTGCGAGTTCGCAATAGAATAAACGGCCGTTTTGATTTTTTATGAACAGTTTGTTCGCCGCATGTATAGTTGCATAATACGAGGTGTCAGTGAACTGCTACAATCACCACAGTTCGACTTTATTCCTCCGGTTTCGAGGTTTTTCTTTAGTAACAACGAACGACCGAGAGTTTGACACAAACATCAACAAACCACAATGCGATTTTCACGTCACTTCCGACGCTCGAGCTGCTTCGTGTTGACAAATGGGCTGACGTTGCTCCTCACTGCCCCCTAATGCATTAACCCTTCTATTGACTTATTTTAACCCAGTGAGCCAGTGTGAGTGTTTTATATATTTTCAAGAGCCTTTTATACCTTTAGTTGTCTATTTAACGTTTATTTCTGTTGCTGGGTTAAATATAGCAGTTGGTGGACTATTACGTCTCTAATCTGTCATTCTCCCCTGCTGAATCTTGATTCTGGCAACGCAGTGGGTAGCACGTTCACCTCACAGCAAGAAGGTTGCTGGTTCGAGCATCGGCTGGGTCAGTTGGTGATTCTGTGTGGAGTTTGCATTTTCTCCCCATGTTCAAGTGTGTTTCCTTCGGGTGCTTTGGTTTCCCTCACAAGTCCAAAGACATCCGGTACAGGTGAAATGCTCCATAGTGTATGAGTGTGTGAATGAGTGTTTATGGATGTTTCCCAGTGATTTGTTGCGGCTGGAAGGGCATCCGCTGCGTAAAACGCGCTGAATAAGTTAATTCCGCTGTGGCAACCTCGGATCGATGCATCTACATTTACTTCTGCTGTTGAAAAATAATTAATTAAATTTAAGAAAATGAAGCCAAAAGTCTGCACAGCAGGTACCAAAGCTAGATCCAATCACAAGCACTCAATCCACCACACTCCATTTCTACAGCAACATTTAACTAAATACTTGCAATTTGATAAACATCAGCATAAAGAAGCTAATAAAAATGTCAAAAACTATTTTGGGAAAAAATAAGTGTTATAAAAATCATGTCCCATAAGTTTACAGTGAGAGTGTGTGGTTTATGAGCTGTACTGCAGCCGGCCACCAGGGGGCAATCAAAGTATTTTGGCTTCTCTTTCAGCACGTGAAGCACACTTAAATCAACTTCTTTATTTTGTTGAGCTTTTTCTTTATATTTACACTATCTATCTATCTATCTATCTATCTATCTATCTATCTATCTATCTATCTATCTATCTATCTATCTATCTATCTATCTATCTATCTATCTATCTATCTATCTGTCTGTCTGTCTGTCTGTCTGTCTGTCTGTCTGTCTGTCTGTCTGTCTGTGTCTGTCTGTCTGTCTGTCTGTCTGTCTGTCTGTCTATCTATCTCTATCTCTCTCTCTCTCTTCAAGCAAGAGTCTGTCTCTCTTCAAGCAAGAGTTTAGTTACTATATACAAATGGATGATTTGGAAACTTTCGAAAATATTTGGTGCTATAATAATGCTTTGTGTTGCGTAGATGAAAGCAATGTTGTTTTTACACTTATTTGAAATGTATAGTTTTTCTTTGATTTAAATTGAATGGACTAATTTATAGTAATATTGTGTCTGTTTTAATGTAATAAAGTTTTTGTAAAACAAAATCTCTTTCTCTCTCTCTCTCTCACTCTCTCTCTCTCTCTCTCTCTCTCTCTCTCTCTCTCTCTCTCTCTCTCTCTCTCTCTCTCTCTCTCTCTCTCTCTATATATATATATATATATATATATATATATATATATATATATAGTTACATAAATTAAAATTCTTTATACATTTAATTGTTATAATCTAATTTAATGACAACAATAATATTAGAGATATATTTTATATTTGTTTAGTGTGAAGAGTTTTCCTAATTTGTTCTGCTTGTTCTAAAGAAATTCTGGCAAAACATGGCCAACCAAACAAGCTTCTACCTCCACAAATCCTTCTGAAACTTTTTTGGTCAATTTAAACAGCAAATTTTCAATAATGCAACAGTTCGTTTTTAATTATTCACTTAGTAAGTAAATGAGAAACTGGCATGTTTTCAGGTTAAAAAACCCCACAATCATACTTCTGTATACAGATTCTGTATAGTAACATCTCTTCAGCAGGACTTATTGTTTTTTAGGATTTTATTAAATCTTTATTTTCAACATGCATTCATTCAATACATTTTCTTTTTAATTTCAGTGTTTCTCTTAAATGAAAAGACACCCAGAAAAATCTCCAAGGCTAAGTACGCCTGCTTGGAACCTGAGTTTACAGTAACTGCATGGTCGTCATTTAATTTTAACTGCTTCATAAAACAATACTGCAAATACAAGTAATTAAACAGTATATCAAATCCATGGTTTCTGTTTTACTAATGCAACATATATGAGTGACTACTCTGACTGCCAGATGCATATATGACAACAAATTCATCTCTAAAATCTTACCACTTTCTTTTTATTAGTATTTAAATCAATTAATCAAATACTGACCATCATAATATATTGTTTTCAGACTCGGGGAGCTCAGGGAAACATCATCATGAAACTACTAATCAGATTGTCATAGCTTTCTCTTGGTTTCTCTATATAATCTTTAATAAATATGTTTAAGAATAGGATATTGCCTATCATGAGGACTGCGCACAAGACACTTAAAACATTTATTCTGAAACAGTTATGGCACGTTTTTTAAAAGCGAAGAGTTTGAAGACAGTGAAACTCCACTGGCTGGACTGCTTTTGATCCCAAAATTGTCTCTGTGGCTCGGACAGTCTCGGTCGATCTTAAATATGATTTGCACCAAGGAAAAGGATATTAGGATGGAGACGACACTCAAGTGTTATGTCTGCTCTCGCTTGCAACACTCGGTCCTTCAAGAAATGCTGGTGGGGGAAACTTTTGGATGTTTTTCTCCAGCTCTGTTTGAACAGTTGTCTTTATCATGAGTTTATCGATCTAGAATGACAGCCTCATCGTTGATGCTGGGGTGAAATTTTAGGGAAAAGAAATATTAAATAGGTTCCAGTCTTAATGCTGATGTGAGAGTTTTTCATTTCTGTACATATCATATTGTTCATTTATTCATTCCTTCGGTGTTTTTTTTTTTGTTGTTGTTGTTGTTGCAGTGAGACCTGCACATCTTCTGGTGATATTTTTCCATTTAAATGTGATTTATCAAACAGAAGTTTGTTTTGACTGTGTCCTCAAAGTAGGATTTTTTGATGTACACTTGGAAACCTGAAGGGAAAAACATGTAGAGTATGTTATACGATACAATATGGCTGTATATAGAACATGTTTATTTATTTTATTTGTACAATACAGATTAAAAGAAAATCAGGACAATCCCATTAATGGCAAAACCACTGTCAAGTACAAAGAGTAAATCTTCAAAATAAAAGTCTAGTTTAAAAAAATGAAATTAATCAAAATAACATTATTAATGTTTTTAAAAACATCATTAAACCTACATGAAACAAAAATGCCGTTTTGAATTAATATATATATATATATTTAATATTTTCAAAGTTTTGTTAATTAATTTAATAAGACTCAAGAGCCTTTAAAATTTAATTTGTATTAAATCATTACACACAACAAATCCAGGAAAAAATAATTGGACACTAATTTAAAATGTAACTTGCTTTGTAGATTTTAACTGTGAATAAAGAAGTTATGGTTACATTTATTCTCTAGCAAACATTTTGAAAGCATTTCCTTTCTGATTAACATAGTGATTATGAAATTAATATGGTGATTATTTTCACAGGATGATTTACTTAACTTTCAATATTTACCTGCCTCTATATATAATCAGTTGTTGGCTTCCAAATATAAGAGATAACCAGAAAATTACTAATATTGATCAAAATTTCCATATCAATTGGTATCAGTTAATAACAACTGGTGATTTCCAATGTTATCAGCATCAGTCTGATGTAAATAGTTTAGTATATTAAAGCTGACAAATTAAAGATTAATTAAATTAAAATAAACTACTTATTGATTTGCTGCTTTTTGCCTTTCAAATATAAAGAATTATCAGTGATCTGCATCGACTAAAATAACAATCAGTATCTGGGGATAAATAATTATTTTTAATGTTAGCAATATTGGCCTGATCAGAATATTAGCCCAATATCTAAAAGACAATAAATGATGTATTATTTCTTCCAGATGAACTACTTAAAATGCAGTATTTATTAGCCTAATTAGCTTCCAAAAATAATGAATTATCAGTTATTTGTATAAACCAAAATAACAATTAGTGTCGGGGAATATTAATTTCTATTATTAGAGGTATCATCCTGTTCAGATAATTTATTTAATATATAAAAGCTGATAAATTATTTCTGCCAGATGAATAATTAAAGATAAAGTATATATCAGCCTTTATATCGGTAATTGGCTTCCACATATAATGAATTATCGGTTATTTGTATGAACCAAAATAACAATCAGTATCTGTGAATGTTTATTTCTATTATTAGAGGTATCATCCTGATCAGAAAGCTAGATTAATATATAAAAGCCGATATATTATTTCTACCAGACGAATAACTTAAGATGAAGTATGTATCAGCCTATACATCGATAATTGGCTTCCAAATATAATGAATTATCGGTTATTTGTATGAACCAAAATAACATTTGTATGGGGGTATGTTTATTTCTAATATTAGAGGTATCATTCTGATTAGAAAACTAGCTTAATATATAAAATGGGATATTTAATATTTCTGCCAGATGAACAACTTAAGATGAAGTATATGTCAGATTATATATCGGCAATTGGCTTCCAAATAAGGAATTATCGGTTATTTGTATGAACCAAACAAACAGTCATTATAGGGAAATGTTTATTTCTATTATTAGAGGTAAAATCCTGATCAAAAAATGTAACTTAATATATAAAAGCCAGTTTATCAGCCTATATCTGTACTTGACTTTCAAATATAATGAATTATCTGTAATTTGTATGAATCAAAATAACAATTAGTATCTGGGTATGTTTATTTCTAAAATTAGAGGTAACATTCTGATAAAAAATTAGCTCAATATATAAAACTCAATATATTATTTCTGCCAGATTAACAACTTTATCAGCCTATATATCGGTAATTGGCTTCCAAATACGATGAAATATTGGTTATTGGAATAACAAGCAAAACTTTCACATTGGCAACAAACAATATTTTTTTACATTAAGTTGCATCTCATGTTGTTCTGCCAAATGAACAACTTAGGATGCAGTATCGCTAATAGGCATCCAAATATAATGAATTATCGGTTATTTGTATGGACGAAAGAAACAATGATTATCAGGGAATGTTTTTTTCTAATATTAGAGGTATCATCATGATCAGAAAACTAGCTTAATATATAAAAGCCGATATATTATTTCTGCCAGATGAACAACTAAAGATGAAGAATGTATCAGCCTATATATCGGTAATTGGCTTCCAAATATAATAAATTATGGGTTATTTGTATGCACCAAAATAACAATCAGTATTGAGGAATGTTTATTTCTAATATTAGAGGTATCATCCTGGTCAGAAAATTAGCCTAACATATAAAAGCTGATTTATCAGCCTATATATCGGTATTTGGCTTACAAATATAATGAATTATCAGTTATTGGTATAGCAGGCAAAATTTTCACGTTGACAACAAACATATTTTTTTACTTTACTATTGTTTAGTTTTTTTTTCAAAGTTACATCTTAGGTTGTTCTGCAAAATGAACAACTTAAGATGCAGTATTTATTAGCCTATACTGTATGTCGGTAATTGGCTTCCAAATTGTGAATTATCGTTTACTGGTATAGCAAGCAAAATTTCCGGATTGACACCAAATGTATTGTTTACCTTCACTGCGATCTGTCTGGCTCAACTTTGGTCTCTCCATTCTGCTTGTCACTGGATTTCTGCGAGAGATGCGTGGAGACTGTGGCCGCTTGAGCCACGGCTTTGAAGCTGCGCTTGCGCTTCTGCACGTTCTGCTCGGGGTGGAAGATGATGACATAGACTTTGGGGATGTACAACATGCCCAGGGACACCGTGGCACTCAAACTCATGGACACGGTCAGCGTGGTGGTCTGAATGAACATCTGGTTGAGGGCGGAAAAAAGATTAAGAGTAATATTTGAGCCTGGCCTCAGCTGCGACCTGTCACATGATGTAGATCAGCCGTCAGGGCTTTAGCGCTGAGATATCACTCCACATTACACATACTGTACATACATTCTCTCGGCTGATTGTCATTTGCTGGAAATCAGAGTAATGACTACTATTAGTGGAAGACATCAGCCATGTGCAAACCATTCAGATGCTTTATGCACAATCCCATGTAAGTGCTACAGTGCATGTCATTTGCATACATTCATGATTTATTCCAGCAAGGTTGATTTCAGGTCAGTTTTACGAGTTCGTAGTTTTCATGCATTATAATTATAATTTTTACATTATAATTTAACTGCATTTTATTTCAAATTATGTATATAGGTTATGAGCAATATGTTTTTGCTCCAAAATTATATTTGCTTATATTTTTAAGACTAAGTAAAAGACAAAGCATTTAAATACCAATAAATAAAACATCAGTGAATAACCATTAATCTAAGGGTACATTTAAAGAGAACACAAAGAGTGTATGAATAAGAAAGATTTCAAGCAAACGTCAAAAAAATCTTCATAATGCCAACAAAATAACATTAATGATACAACAAAATGCTAATAATAATAATAATAGTAATAATAATAATAATAATAAATACTATAATAATAAAACAAAACAAATATAATGAAATATAATAAACAAAAATGTATATATCCTCTGCCGTCTGATCTTTATTCCGCTTCTGCTCTTCTTTTCATTTACAAGAAATGAAAAGACTTGAAGAGCACCTTAGGGCCAAAAGCTTTGCGGTTGACCGGCCACTAAAAGACCTCTCTATTAGTCAGAGTATACTTTCCATTTTTAAATCCCTGCGCTTTGTAAGCAAAACCATCCCCCACCGGATGAATACATGTGAAAAACTCAGTGACTAAATGCATAAAGTGTGGCCAGCGTCTGAGCGGCTTTTAGGATGACACAAAAACTGCACCACAATTAAATAGCAATTACGTTCACTTGATATGGCTACATGTTCTTTTTTTAAGTTTTTAATATCTGATTATGATTCACACATTAATACTGTAAGTAAATGCTGCTCTAAAATGAACAGAGCCAGAAGCATCTAGTTCAGAGAAATGTATGTCCAAATTTTCTCTGTCCATCATTTTCTGTAGGTACATTTTAAATGATGGGTTGCACTTCTAATTAGGGGAACAAGCATTAAAAGCAACTGAAACAAATCTTTTTTAATAATACAGTTGTGCTAAAAATAATGAGTTAGTCTTTGCTTTTTTTATGCATCATAAAAATAATGTATATATACACATTGCTCAGCATAAATGAGTACAGCTCCTTTTAAAAAAGAACATTTTTATCTATTTCTAAGTGAAGACAGCCAAGATGTTTAGGTGGATATAAACAAATCAGTTTTATTATACAGTCTCCATTAAAGTAAGAGTTTGGTCACCGGACATATTTGGGAATAGAAAGATAATACATTGAAATTCATAGTGTTATTGTATAAAAACAAATGTTTTATTTATGTTTCTCTTGATTTTTCCTCTTGATTGATTTTTAAATACTTTTCCCCAATGTACTAATTTTGTTAGTACTAATGTAATTTACTAATGGTAATATACAATTTTTTGTTAGATTAGTTTCAGTTTAGGCTTTGGTACTGACTAATTTAATGTATATAGACAAATATATTGTGGAGCACTATATATAAATATATATATATATATATATATATATATATATATATTACATATATTATTTTCGTAGAAATAAAATATAGTTAATGAGGATATCTGTGGCCAAATCTCATCTGAATTCACTGCTTCGTTGCTTTAGATTATTTTCCCTTTGTTTACCCTACAGTATAGTAATATTCAACACTTCCACAATTGTGTTACAGAAAGGTTTGAATCCAGATTTGCTGTTATATTCATGGTCGACTTTGGTTCTAATAAGTTGCTTTTTAATATTTGATTGCTGAACTAAGAAGAGAATAATGAAACAAAATACACTTTACAAGGGTTTCCGCAGGTTTCATCAAGTCAAATTTAAGACTTTTAAAGATAATAATAAATGAAATTTCAGACCTATAGAGATATAAATGCTAAGAATCTTTTTTAATGGCCCAGTAAAAAAGATTTTTACCTGGCTCATCAAAAAAAAGTCTAATTTAGTAATTGCCACATATTTTGAATAATATGTCAAAACAAACAAACTCTTGGTGCATACAGTACATTCACTTTGTTTCAGCATAACGTTTTGTTTTGATAAGTTTTAAAAACTGTAATAAACTAAATGTATTCACAACAGTCTGTAAAAGATCGATGTCCTCACCAGGTAGCTATAAACAACTTTTTAGGGGATTTCACCTTTATGATGATGGGACAGTGGAGGTTTACAGACAGTAAAGTGTGGGGGGCAGAAAGAGGAGGAGGATCGGCAAAAGATCTCAAGCCTGGAATTGAATAATAGGCTATTGGCGCTAACTATAAACACAAATTTTAACAAATGTTATAGTGAGGAAGATAATTATACCCTACTGGTAAATATAGAGTTAATGAATAAAATATGTGTTGAAAGTTTTATTGAGATGGATTATTGGTGATTGGGTAGCTTTACACGGACATTGGAAGACCTACAACACAACATTTCAGGGAATATAAGGCTTTTTAATACATAGACTGATGTTATTTTTGAAACTAAACACTTTTTAAGTCCAATCAGACATCCTGTTCACTGAGTGCAAGTTACTCCCATAATTCAGCAAATCATCATGGGATGTAGGAAAATGTGGGTATACAGTGGGAGAAATTAGTATTGAACACGTCATGTTTTTTCTTGGAAATAATATTTTTAGAAGAGCAGTTGACAAGGAATTGAACCCAGTTTTGGTAAAAACCTAAACAATACATGAACATGCATTACTCAGGTGTGATTTTTTCCAACAGAGTGGAAAATTCTAGGTGGTTCTATGGGTCTCGTCTGAATTTTCTATTGGATTCGAGTCAGGTCATTGGCTGAGCCATTCTACAGCTTGATTTTCTTTCTCTAAAAGCAATTGAGCTTCCTTGGCTGTATTCTGCATCATTGTCTTGCTGAAATGACCACTCTGGTTTCATCTTCATCATCCTGATAAAGTACATGTTGGACTAAGGCAGCTAATATTCCTTTATAATGACAAGGGCAGAGGGTTGCTGAAGAACTACAGAAAGATTTTATCTACTCTCCGGGCCTTCACTACCTTTCTACACCTCCCTTTCTTCATGTGTTCATTACTTTTTCCCTGTGTCATTTTATTTTATTATGCATAATTTAATTAATAACCAATTAGTTTTAATTCTTTGCATATATTTCATTGGTTTTTACCAAAATCTGGTGAAAACTTCAAGTCAACAGCACCATTAGAAATGTGTTTTCTTAAAAAATGTTTTTATACTGTTTTTTGAGGTTTTTAATACTTATTTCCCCCACGGTATTCTACATAATGTTAAAGGAATAGTTCACACAAAAAATATATCTACTTACTACGTACTCAAGTAAAGTAGTTCCAAACCTTCAATGTGTTTCTTTTTTCTGAAGATATTTTAAAAAATGTTTCAAATGAGTAGCCACTGGCCAACTATTAATGTTATTGTTTTAACATTCTTCAGAACATCTCCTTTTGTGTTCAACAGAAGGAAGAAACTCATAAAGGTTTGGAACAGGTAATAGAATTTTATTTTCGGATAACTGAAAAACAGGATGGCTTTGATAGAAGTTTCATTTAGGAACTATCATTTTAACCTTAAATGACCATTATCTTTAATAACCATTTACCTTTTCGGTGGATTGTGATGTGCCAAAAAAGATGGGGACGAAGGCCAGCCAGATGATGCACGTGGTGTACATGGTAAAGCCAATGGGTTTGGCCTCGTTGAAGGTTTCAGGAACTCCTCTGCTCTTGATGGCGTAGACTGTACAGGTGACCATCAGCCCCATACTGTAACTCAGACAGCCAATCAGAGACAGATCCGACATGTCACACTTCAGAATCCCTCGCGCAAACTCAGGGTTTGGAGGACGCAGCTCATCAAAGTCCACATTGGTGTGAGGAGGAACCACTCCAAACCATATGAAAATACCCAAGAGCTGAGAGGAGAAAGAAGAGAAGAGCACTGAACATCCATGCAACACTCTAAACCCTGCTGCTTTAATTATTCAGTGGACACAAAGTCCTTGGACAAAATGTCTTTTGGAGACATAAAGCATAGTAAACCAGGCAGTTCCTCTGAATGAAGAGTTCATTTTACATAGATTATGATTTAAATAATTAAATGAACTTTTTAGCTACTTTTAAGACAACTATTATTTAAAGGGTTAGTTCACTAAAAATGAAAATTACCTCATCATTTATTCTGCCTTATGTGCTTTAAGGAGTTTCTTCCTTCAACACAATGTAATTTGGGAAAAATGCTGGCACCCTTTGACCTCCATAGCAGGACAAAAATGACTATAGAAGTCAATTATATTTTTAAAATATGATGACAAAAATGATGATAGAATTTTCTTTTTTTTTTAGATTTATTTGTTTATTCAATTATGATTTATTTGAATTACAACTATTTATAAACACATGGAAAAGATTGTAAAGTCTTAACTCATCCTTTTTAAAATGTGTTTTAATTCATATTTCTTTTACTCTTTGAGTTGCAATTATGATCCAACTAATTAAAATACTTTATTTTTTATTTTACTATGATTTATTTGCAGTAATAAACTTTGTAACATAATTTAGCATGTATTTACTAAAATGAACCATATTTTAATTCTAATAATATTAATTACAGTATTTATTCATCTTTGATAATTTTAGTTAATGGAAATACAGTTGTTCATTGCCAGTTCTAAGTGAATTGTGTGTATTTTATGTTAGTAAATACATTAACTACCATTAATGATAACACTTTAGTTTAGGTCATAATTCATGCTATTAACTACTGGCTTAAACCTTGCCTATTATTAAGATATTAACTGTTCATTAGTAGTTATAAAGTATGATCTTATTCTGCATCCAACCCAAAACCCAAAGCCAACCTCTACCTAACTAGAGGTTTATTAATAAACAGCTAATTAATAGTTTATTAAGCTATTAGTGTAGGTTAATGGTTTGTTAATGCTGTAAATCGTGACCTAAACTAAAGTGTTACCACATTAACTAATGCACTATAAAAGATGATGGATTCCACACAATCGATTTGTGTTAGACAACAAGAAGGAATTAAGTTAACTTTTTAGTTTTACAAATTTAAGTAGATTGAACATAAAACGATTAGGTTCTTTAAAAAAAAACAAGAATTGTGTTGTTTCAGCTAATTTTAAATAAGTTGTTTGAACAAAGAGCAAACAACATTTTTTAAGTGTGTGATCAAAATTACAAAACATTAAATAATATAAAATTTAATATATTTAGATCTATTATGTATAGATGATACCACAGCCAGATTACCGTGCAGCCTAAGACCGGTTACTCACTGAAGCTAAGCAGGGTTGAGCCTCGTCAGTACCTGGATGGGAGACCACTTGGGAAAACTAGGTTGCTATTGGAAGTGGTGTTAGAGAGGCCAGCAGGGGGGCACAACCTGCGGTCTGCTTGAGTCACTAAAACTGAAGGGGACACTGTACTGTTCTCTGAGGTCCTGACTCTACGTGGTCGTTAAAATCCCATGGCACTTCTCGTTAAGAGTAGGGGTGTAACCCCGGTGTCTTGGCCAAAGTCCCTCTATCGGCCCTTATGATCATGGCCTCCCAATCATCCCCATCCACCGAATTGGCTCTATCACTGTCTTTTTACTCCACCAATAGCTGGTGTGTGGTAAGCACACTGGCGCCGTTGTCCTGTGGCAGCCATCGCATCATCCAAGTGGATGCTGCACATTGGTGGTGTTGTGGAGAGACCCCCCTCATGATTGTGAAGCGCTTTGGGTGTACGGCCATACACAATAAATGCGCTATATAAATACACATTACATTACATCACACACATTCAATTATATATACCCTAAATAACATTAAATTTGATTTTTAAATTTTTATTTTAATGTATTTCAACCAAAATTCACTCCAAAAATTATTTTTTTGCAGCTTGTTTAAATGTACTTATTTAAAATGAGCTGCAATAACCCAATTCTTAAAACTCAATTGTTTTATGTTCAATCTGTTTAAATTGTTACGTTTACTTAATCAATTTGTGTAGGGACCCTGAAATTTTTACAGTGTTGTAAAACATTAGTGGAGAAATAGCCCAAAAATGACCCAAAAGTCACAAAGTTACTTTTGAAACACTTCAAAACAGCATATTCAATAAAATATTTAACACACTTTGAAATTAACAACAAAGTCAGTTCCTCAATGTCTAGCAACTCACTTTGAACAATCGTAAATTTCTGACACACCTGTACTGAGATCAGAATAAATGTGATGATCAGCTGGGACGTGGGGCTGATAAACTTTGGCGGTGTGACCGATTTCTTCCCCTGCTCAAAGATCCTGTAGATTCGATTGGTTTTGGTGAGCATGGCAGAGTAACTGATGCACATCCCCAGTCCCAAGAGCAGCCTCCGAAATGCACACACCACAGTGCCTGGCTCAGCGATCATGAGGAACGTGATAAGATATATGAGGAAGATGCCTGTCAGAAGCACATAACTGAGCTCTCGGCCCGAAGCGCGGACTATTGGGGTGTCATTAAAGCGTATGAAGGTGGCGATGACTCCCGTTGTTGCAAGAATTCCCAATACAGCCAGAAAAACAGGGATAATGGCCCACGGAGAGCTCCACTCCAGCTTGATGATGGGTGTGGGACGGCAGGCCGTGCGGTTGGGGGTGGGTCTCATGTCAAACGGGCACATGTCACAGTTAAATTCATCCAGTAGGAACTGATACCCATCACAGAGCTCACAATGCCAACAGCATGGCACCCCCTTCACCATCCTCTTCCTCTCCCCGGATTCACACGGAAAACTGCACACTGAGTCTGGAACCAGCTTTTCCCCTCCAGACCACTGCATATCTTCAGCCTTACAGAAAGAGAGAAATATTTTCACACAACGTGCATTCAGGAACGTCCCAAAATACCCAACAGGCTTAATGCGCTTACACTGAGTCGTAAGTGGTTGGTCCACTGGCCGATGAGTTTATATCCCGGGTTGGTGGTGTTGGAAAGCTGGTACTGGAAGATATCGTATCGTCCTGGGGCATCACCATTTTCATTAAACATCACACCTGTGCCGGCGCTGCCTTTAGAGGAAACACACACACACAGGGATTTGATATTCAACATCACAAACGCAATGATTTGAAACAATAGAGTCATTTCATTTAGACAGAGGCGTCTGCAAGGGCGTAAAATTGGGTTAATGCGTGGCAATTATTTCCATTGTTCTTTTCCACGTTGTAAAATTGTCAAACATAACTTTGAAGGTGACTTTTCCATATCAAAGGTTGCTTACAAGAAAATACACAGGTGTAAAATGGTAACAAAATGGTGTAAACAGCAGCCAGAAGCTGTTTACAGTGTACAACCTGAAAATAGTGGCATTTTCTTAGGATTTAAGTGCAAATAATTATATATACTATTTATTCTACAGATCCAATGATATTTTAACATGCATAAGTTGAATTTAGATGTATTAATACTGACATATAATTTTTTCAAATCATACAATTTTAATTATTTCACATCTTCAGGACATTTTCACAGCACTTCCTTTTTTATATCTGGAGAAAGTCTTATTTCTTTTAGTTTGGTGGGAATAAACCTGTTTTAATTTTGTTTAAAACAACTTTTTACAGTCAATATTATTCGTCCCCTTTTCCATTGGCTACTGAACAAACCACTGTTGTCTAAGGACTTGCCTAATTTATTATTATTATTTTTTTATGACTTGCCTAATTAACCTAACTTGGCTGGTTAACCTAATTAACCCAGTTAAGCGTTTAAAATGCACCTTAAGCTGAATACTAGTAGTTAGCTATTCATTCATTTATTCATTCTTTTTCCTTCAGCTTAGTCTCTTTATTCATTAGGGGTTGCCACAGCGGAATGAACCTAAACTTATCCAGCATATGTTTTACACAGCAAATGACCAGTACTGGGAAACACCCATACACTCTAACATTCACACACATACACCAGTAGTTTTTTTCAATTCACCTACAGCGCATGTCTTTAGACAGTGGGGGAAACTGGAGCCCCTAAAGGAAACTCACGCAAACACAAGGAGAACATGCAAACTCCACACAGAAACACCAACTGACCCAGCCGGGGCTCAATACAGTGTCCTTTGTGCTTTGAGGCAACAGTGCTAACCACCGAGCCACCGTGCCACCCGTAATTAGCTTTATTACAAATGAATGATTAAACTATTATGTTTTATAATGTGTTTTAAAAAATATCTCTGTTACACAGCTCTTGGAAAATATTTATTTTTTACTGGATACTTTACCTCAGTATTACGGCTATATTATAAAATATTTTGTGGCAATATCATAATGAGCATTTATGATAGTATGTATCAAATGAATGTTGCCTTACCAGGACACTAAAGCCCTCTGTACACCTTCCTTTAACGTAAACCGTATACATTTTCCTATTAATTCAATTCAATTTCAATTATTAACTGCACACTAAGCATTTTATGTGCACTTTTGGAGGATTTTAAATTTTTATTTAAAACAAATGTTCTTACCATCTGATTTATGGTGAGAAAAAACATTCACCACTACAAATTTTACTCCCTACACTGCCAAAAAAGATTTTCTTACATAAAGTTTTTATCTAATTTCTAATTAAAATTTCTAAGAATTCCTAAGTGATGCATTTTCAAAAAAAGTACAATGTTGTTTTGTTTTCAAAAGTAAATCGTCAAAATTAAGTGAGTTTTTCCTTAAAAAAGCTAAATTATCAATGAGCTTGTTTTCAGTTTAAAATAAATGCCCTTGCACTGGCAATTAAGTTGATTTAAATTTGATAACATTACTGAAACACCCGCTTCAATATCGAATGTTATCACTCGATAGAATAGACATTATCAGTGGTTATCAGCTAATAGATAAGTGCCAGAAGAAGCCTGCTAGTAGGTTTAGAAGGATGTTATCATCCATCCACATGGTTAATGAGCTATACTAACCTCTTAAGGCCCAAGCTGTTTTTGCATTTTTTATTTCACTTTGCTATTTGGGCTTATTTGGAACCTAATTAAAATAAAAACCATATAAGTATAAGAATAAGTACTATCTTTTGATATGACATATTTTTAGCAAAATTTATGTCTATATATGTGTGGTCCGAATTTACATAAAACACTTTTTCTGACTGTTTTTAATGCATATATAACATATATATATATATATATAATTTTTTTTTTTTTTTTTTTTTTTTACTTGCTTCGACTATCAGAGTAAAATCTTTTTTTTCCCCATTTTGGACAGTTAAAAAAGTATTTGGGACATTTCATATGCTGCAAAACAGTTGCAGTATGACACTGTCTGTCTGTAACAAAATCTAAAACATTCAAAGTATTTTAAATAGCCACTTAAGAGCTAAAATGTGCTGTCCACGTAGGTGGCCACTCAAGCCACAGCAGGCTAATAGAGAAGGTTGGGTTTAGGGTTGGGGTAAAGGTAGATGTTAATAAAATACAATTAATAGGAAATTTGATAAATGATATAGATAATTCTTGCTAACTTCCAGCCGCAACCGTATGTGATCTATAGCTGATTAACCATTTGGATGGATGATAACAGCCTTCTGAGCCTACTAGTAGGTGCAGAAGGGCCCTACTGGCCCATATCAACCAGCTGGTTACCACTGATAGAGCCCATTCAATCGAGTGATAACATTCAAAGCCGCTGACTGAAAACACCAAAAAAATTATTGTCTAGAAACTGCTTCTGTATTTAGGAATTTTTAGATATTTGGACTACAACAAAACATAAACTTTAAGTAAGAAACACATTAAATATAACATTGATTGATTGACATAACTTTTTTGCAGTGTTTGCCACTTCTGCTTTGTCAGTGGGGCGTTATTTGTTGTACTGGCTGTTCTGAGACTAAGTAGACATGCCATAATATAATAGACCTCAGGTGTGCATTACCTTCAAACAATTGAATGGACTGAACCAATTCTAACACTTACTCTACAGTGTAAACAAAGGGACAACAAAGGGAACTATATCAAAGTGTTACCAACAAAATATGAAATTCTATAAAGACAGATGCGCATATTCAATCTTACAAGCCTTCCTATAAACCACAGTTTACAAAATCATGAGGGACAAGGTCTCCACACAGCACGTTTTGTTCCCCTCAGGCAAGAAAAGATTTCCATACAAGAGCGTGAGGACATCCACAGTGCGTAAACTGAATAGCTGTGCTTTTCATAGAAATCTCTTAGGAATGAGTGACGAAGAAGAAAAGGGATTTTTCACCGAGAGATGCCAATGAAAAAAGAAGTGCGCCCTGTGTTTGGAGAGCGGCTGCCCTGGGGAGAATCAAAGACAAGGAGAGAGATGAGGGAGGGGGTTAAAACAAGTCTGTGCACTGCAGTATTGTGCATTAGTGGATCTCTTCAGGCTGGGATTGAGTGCTGACCTCTCTCTTCGCTCTCTGACTAACCCATGGGACTCGCAGCCTTCCTCCTTGGAAACGGCAGCTTCTTCTCTGCCCTTTCCCCCCGCGCCAAAACTACTCTTCACCTATTTTCACCTGTCAGTCTCAGAGTAATGGCTAATATCCTTCATTCCAAAAGGTTTGACAAAGGTACGATTATTACGCACAACCTTCCTGACGGATTCAAAGCATTCCTCAGAAATAAAAGCTGCATTCAAATTCCTGTGAGGTTGATTAGTCTTGTTTCAATACAAACCCATTACCGACTGCAAATTCAAGGTCTTTTTCGCGGGGTCTGAAACGGCTCACATGCTCCTGCTCTGTCCTTGAGAAGGCTTACCATTAAAATTGACGGCACGGATGTAAGTCAGCAGCATTCTTCCATCCACCGGGTCCATTTTGTCGCAAACACCCATTGAACCGGGACAGAGGTCGATGTGCATGCTGTGAAGAGCGTGGGCCATTGCGTACACCGCGTCGATCACAAACTGCACCTTGCCTTCCTGTTCGTACCCCGAATCCCGGCCGATTCGTTCCTCTCCTGAAAGCAAGATGACAGGAATTGAAAAGGCTTTGCTGAGGGAATAATCCATTTAGCTGTACTTTACACGTCTTAAAAGCATAAGAATGTGTGATCGTTCATGCACTACTGCGATTATGGGAGTAATTTGTCTGAAATTATTTCCTCGCCTGTGCATTTCCTCAGCCCGCCGTCGCCTCTGATTCCAGGCCGTGTCAGCTTGCATTTGAAGTCGTCCTCCCAGAATTCAGCAAACCAGATGTTCCTCCTGTTGTTTTCCAGGGATCTTGTGGTGAAGTATTGATCGAAACCTGAGAAACAGGTTAATGGGAGAGTTCACTCAAAGAAGAAAATCTGCGGTTGATTTTCTCACCTTACTAAAGGTTTAGTCTTCAGCAGATCATTAAAAAGGATTTTAGCTAAAAAGCATAACCCCTGCGGATTCTTAAAATGCGAATCAGCACTTTAAAAGTCATAAAAACAAATACAGGAAACATTAAATCATGAGGGCTGCACATATATCTTTTGCAAGTGCAATTCGCGCCTGCTCTTCTCACATAAATCCACTAGAGGGCCCTGTTGACTAACTCACTGACTGACTGACCAACCAACCGATCCCCATAGATATTTACATTAGATGTCGCCTACGCTGTTGTTGTCTATTAAAAGGAATGCATCAATAGAGCCGTCTTTTTAGTACAAGGTAGTGCTCCTTTAAAATGAATGTGGGACCAAGGTGCAGTGGAGGACTAGCCATCCAGAGTCTGACATATAAACACATATATACATATATCTATGATCAGGAGTTTTCCTGGTGGTCAGTATGCAAATATTTTTTTAAAATACAAAAATTAAAAATTTTACATAACTTTTTTAAATCGATAGATAAGTGATCGCACAAGAATTGCCGACAAAGAACGTGTGTTTGTGTGCATGGAAATGTATTGACCCCCTTTTCTACTTTTACTTCTCATTTTAATGGGGGGAGTGATTCGATTGTGAATTAATTCCCGTTGTAAACGACTCGTTCAGTTAGCCGACAATAATACGTTTCTAGCACCGCAGCATCTTTTATGCAGCTGATTTTATTCAACAAAACTAGCATAAGCCTGGTATTTAGTGCAAGTTGGTGCTACTTTGTAGGGGTGTCAAAATTAATTGTTTCTTCGGTGCACCCTGATGCAGACGCGGACAATTCCATATCGGTTCAGTAATAATCATACCGGTTATTATGTACTGATGTCATTTACCTCATATGCGTTCTGTTGCGAGGGAGGTGAGCGCAGGTATTTACAATACTCCAGGCGCAAACTACTTAAAAATGCAGAAACTGTGCACAATTTCACTGCATGTGCGTGATTTCTGGACAGTCTTTCTCTGAAACTTCCAGCAGAAGCCCCTATTTCTCTGCAACTGAGGGAATGAAAGTGAACTCCATTTCTCTCTCTCTCACTGTGGCACATTTCACCTGTTGGCGTGACTTTTCCTCTCGGCTACTGGCATGATTTTTTCTCCCCTCTCTTTTCCTCTCGGCTGTTACACTGATACTTCTAAATATACTGTAGGTATGCATTCCCGCGGCTGTACCTGTGCATTGTCGCGGGACCCGACCAGATTTCATGCAGCGCAAGAGTAAATTTCTGAATAAAGTGCGGGAGCCGTCGGTAACTCTGGTGTAATTTTAACAGTAGTGGGCGGTCTTACAATATCGTTCTCGAGCAAGCGAGCGAGCAAGCAAGCATGTGTGGCGTGTGTGTTTGTTTGGTACTGTCTATTAGGGTTGGGCATCTAAGCTATAATGCCGATCCGATACGCATCTTGATACAAAGAATACGATCCGATATATTAGCGATACATTTGTGACATTGCGATGCAACACGATAGGATTTACACCCATATCACGATACAATGCGATAATTCAGCACTAACTTATAAGATCAAGTTTATGAGATGATGTAAGAAAGGATGCTGTGCCATTGAATGAGTTTGATTATTTATTAACCAAGTAAAACCAAGACTTTTTTTACAAACTGGCTTTTCTCTCAGAGCCAGAGTGTCAGTTTACAGTAGAGGACCATTTTAGAACCTATACCACATATTATTTAAGTATTTTCAAGATAAACAGAATGTATAAGTGCAATATATATTATAAATGTATATATTTGCACTCTTTCAACATAAAGGTTTACCATTGCACAACAACAATTGTGATTAAACTTTTCAACTATGAAAACAAGTTTTACAAAGATATATTGTGCCACTGAATATTCAAAACTTAAGGTCGTGAACTAGCAGTGTTATGCTGCTTTGAAACATCACTGTCACTGTAAACAACAGGCTAATAAAAATATAAATAAATAAAAATTAACAGGAGGTGTTTAAAACCTTCGTTCTCCGCGACATTAGGCTGAATATCTTTGCAGATGAACAATGCAATAGCATTCGTTATTGGCGTAGAGCGCACAAAACTGTTGCGCATGGAGAAAACTTTCAATGCTTTTCTCACCACTTTTGGAGCTGGTAGCTACAGTTGAAGCAGAGCAGGAAGCCGGGGATGCAGAAACACTGGAAGATGCTTCCACAACAACACTGAGGCGCCGCTTCAAGTGAGATATCAGATTAGTCGTACTGCCCGTGTATTTTACAGATGCGCGGCACATTTTGAAAATTGCATCTGTCCTGTCAAGTCGTCCATCCTTTTTGCAGAATCCATAATGTTGCCAAACTTTAGATTTAAAACTCAGTGAGGAATAAAATGTTTGTTTTGCTTCTCGCGCTTTCTGATGGCGCACCACTAGCTTCATCCGCACACTTGATACACTGAGTTATAGTGTAAGTGTACACATCCGCAAGTCCGTTGCTAATGCATACTTTATGTAGGTCGATTAAATTATGCGCCAAAAACAGGTTGACAACACTTGCTAATAAATAAAAAATACATTCTATATTAAAAATATAAGTTGTATCTTGGAAAAACCGATGCATCTCGCGAAAACCGATGCATCTCGATTTGCTTCCAAAATTTCATTCATCCTCTGCTGCTCTACCGATGCACTCGCATCGTGCACGCGGATGACCGCGTATCGATACATATCGGTTAATCTTCCCATCCCTACTGTCTATGTTTGTGTATGTGTGTGAATGAGACAAAATGTGGTGTTGTGTGTCTCTGTGTGTGTGTGTTTATACAGACAGCTTGTTGTAGCCAACCCCCAAAATATAACACTGTGTATGAAAAGCCTCATCAATGCACCGTGATGCTCCGAGATTTCAATTTGAACTGAATCGATGACATGATAATCAGAACCAAACCGAACCATGAGACCATTATAGGTTCACGCCTCTACTACTTTGCCTTATGGTCAGGGCAGTAAGAAACTGTATTATCATCAATACTTGTTGAGCACAAAAGTTCATAACATACAAAAATGTAAAAATTGAAATCTTACCTATGAAATGTTCTGCCTTTGTGCTTTGTTTTCTTTGTTTGCTCATTACTACACCCGTGCACAGTGTTAAAGTCCAGCATCTTCACATTGGCTTCAATCTTAGTGCGGCTGAATGACATTTGTCCTGGGAGTATTGTACAAATATGGCGAAACTATTGACGCATACAATATCTAGTGTACATATCTGTGTCGAGCTAACTGGACAACCTGGTAACAGTAAAGGAAAGCTGTCGACATGGAGGTAAGCTTTCAACTGGTTAGCGAAAAAAGAAACGCAGTCATATTGCCCCATAGCGTTTGTTTTAAAGACGAAATGCAGTCATACGTAGCTCTGGGTACATAATTTGTGATCTCCAGAAACGTATATAGGGCTATGTTTTCAGAATGAGCTTATTTTGCAACGTTAATCAGAACAAAAGTTGAAAATACATGACATTTGTAGAGTCATAGCAAAGTATAACCATAACAGACTGATAGTTTATAATTTGCATGTGTTTTAAAGGCATTTCAAGAGAGTTTAAAACATTCGGCACAATAAAGTAAATTTGTAACTTTAAAGAATAATAATTTTACTGAATTATTAATACAATGAAGACTAGACAGCGAAATGAAACATTGCAATGCCAGATTTTTTTAATGTTGTGTAGCCCTAGCATGTAGCTCGTTTTGAGAATACATGCAGCTTGAATGTTTTTTTTTTTTTTTTGTGTAGATACAATAGAGTAGGGGGAGAGGCGGTATTTGATTTGTAAGTAATAATCAGTTTCTCCAGTTTTCATGTTTGTCTACGGTAGATTAAGAAAGACAAGACTTATTCTTGTTCTTTTATTGTGTAGTCATTTGGCCTTCACTAGATGTTATTGTAAAGTCTGCTTTGTTGTTTTGGCCTTGCCTCCTCCTGAAGCATGTAGCTTACACTTCTTTTTACCTTTATAAACAGACAGAGAACTGCAGTGCACATCCTTAAACCAATCTCAAAAAATATTTTCCACAATAAGGAAGCCTTTTCTGGAATTCATTCATTCATTTTTCTTTGGCTTATTCCCTTTATTCATCAGGGGCCACAGAGGAATGAACCGCCAACTTATCCAGCATATGTCTTACACAGCGGATGCCCTTCCAGCATCCATCCATACACACTTATTCACACACATACACTATAGCAAATTTAGTTTATTCAATTCACCTGTGATTTGGACTGTGGGGGAAACCGGATCATCTAGAGGAAACCCACGCAACGAGGGGAGAACATGCAAACTCCACACAGTAATGCCAACTGACCCAGCCGGCACAGGCAACAGTGCTAACCACTGAGCCACCACATCACCCACTTTTATTCAATGAAAATTGTCAACAGATCTTCTTGGAACCCTCAATGCCAATAAAGAAGCTTTAATTATGAGATTGTTACCTTAACTTGCAAGAATACAAACATTTTATTTTCAGCTTCAGTCACAATGCAAAATATACATAACAATTCTTCAAAAATATTGGGGGGAAAAACGGGATGTTAAATATCATTTTTGGTTGAACTATATCCTTTTCCCAAAGGAGAACTGGCCAAAGACTGAGGCCAATATTTTTTTATTTCACTTGATGATGTTTTAGTCCTTTGCCACGGTTGACTTTAGCTTGCTCAGTTAGCAATTCACATTTTGTAATAATATGAATAAACACACCGAGGTAGCTTCTCTTAAAAAATAAATGTTCTTTTTAGACATCAAGGGTTCCATCAAGGGTACAACTTTTCACATACATGAAACATTTTTATTAAACAAAAGGTTCTTGATAGGGGAAAATACTTTAGATTATTAAAATGTTATTTAGATTAAGATAATATGATTAAGACTAAATCGTTCTTCTTATAACCTAAAATCATTTTAATTATTAACTATTATTATTTCTATTTATTATAATTAGCTTTTGAATGCCACCCTGATTTCACCAAGTAGGACATGTTACTGGATTAATATCTACAGTTGATGTCAGATTTTTTTCAACACAATTTTTAAACATAATGGTTTTGATCACTTATCTCTAATAACTGATTTATTTTATCTTTGCCATGATGACAGTAAATAATATTTGGCTAATATTTTTAAGACACTTCTACACAGCTTAAAGTGACATTTAAAGGCTTAACTGGATTAATTAGGTTAACTAGGCAGGTTAGGGTAATTAGGCAAGTTATTGTATAATGATGGTTTGTTCTGTAGACTATTGAAAAAATAAAAAGCTTAAAGGGGCTAATATTATTGTCCTTAAATTGGTTTTTAAAAAATGTTAATTTTTATTCTAGCCAAAATAAAACAAATAAGACTTTCTCCAGAAGAAAAATTCATTGCTCTGTTAAACATCATTTAGGAAATATTTAAAAAGAAAAAAAATCAAAGGGGGGCTATAATTCTGACTTCAACTGTATGTTGATCTTGGAACAACATTCTAATCAGCCAATCAGAATTAAGGGATACTTTACTGTTTATGTTAAATTTAGTCTTATGGTTAGGTTTATGCACTTCTACATTAATGTTAACCTCTAATATTGGGAATGATTTACAGTTATGGTTGGTTTTAGGGGTAGGAAATAGGTATGAATTACATTTTTGAACAAAAATTATGCTCCAGGATCAACATAGATGTTAATTCAGGATCGCATCGTACTTGGCAAAATCATGACGTGCTTCTTTTGAAACCTTTATTTTTTCTGGGTTTAATTCTAACTGTTCAACGATAACTTAGTTATTGAACTGAATTAAATGGACTTAAGCTGAATAATGGCACTATTTACTTCTGTAGAGCTGCTTATAATGAAGCTGAATTTGATTCATAATTAATGAACTTAACAACACTGACTAAACAGAGCTAAATAAATACACTATTTAAAGCTGTGCATCTGCTTTACAGATAAAACTGAATTGATCTCTAAACGCATTCACTGCATAAAAGTTGTTTTGACAGTCTGAATTGCATATTATGTGATATAATACTAAATACCACATTTTTCCTCCATTAATTACACTAACATGTGCCTTTAGTTTTTACCTTCAATGGATGCCCGTTTGGGCAAGATGGTTACTGCACCCTCAGCCACGTCTTCCTGGTTCAGAATTGGTGAGATTTTTGCACCCCAGCTGTCAGATCCCACAAACAAAAAGTGACCAGTAAGATTGGCTCTTTTTGCAGCTTCTAGGACACGCCTACAACAAAAACATAGCCAACAAAATCTGGTCAGAAAAATAGGATTCATAATAATTTTTTAATAACAAGTAATAATAACAACAAGTTTTTCTGGGTTACTGCAAAGGTTCAAGACACCCTGGAGTACTTTTTTGAAATTTTAACAGAATTGTGTGTGTTGAGCATCAGTTAAGACAACATTAGCACCCGTCAATTTTAATTGTGGGGAAAATTGGCTTTGAGCTTTTGTCAGTTTATTTTAGCTTCCGGGTTCAAAATAATTTTTGGTTTGGGATTTCTTATCCTATGAGGAAAACCTGCTTTGTAATTACTCATGAGAGCACGTGCTTTCAAAAGACAAGGAAGACCTGCCAAGCTGTGACAAAGACTGGGTGAGATCGTGTCCATGCACGGCAAACAGTTTTTAGCTGTTCATGAAGGGTCGTATGTGTGTGTTTCCATGATTCACAGGGTTTGTTGCATGTTCTTTCCTGTGATGCTGTCAGGGCCGATACAGCAAAGCTGTTTGTTTGCAGCAATAATTTTTTGTCAGGAGAGCTGTATGAGAAATGGAGACTGGCGGACTTCGTCTTTTATCAGTTGAGTTTGTTACCATTCAGACACATCGCCTATATCCATGCTGCTGTGTTTGCCTATGTTTTAAATCATCCAGATTACTGACAGGGTTGATGGTTAAAACAGATAAGACAAGAGACTTGCTGCACTGCAATCCACTGTGTGTCTGCATTCAGACCCGGTGATTGAGGAGAAGTCCTCCTCATTTATAGTGTTTACATGATTATCTTTATAATAATATAACAAATTGTGTTTATCTGTATATAAATTTACGAATAACAAATGTAGCAGGGCATTAAATTACTGTTTATTTATTTGCAATTTAACTATAAAATCATGTATCTCCTCATGGTTTGTGTCTCATTTTGTGAGCCAACTGAAAACAGTTGTTTGCTCCCCTCGTTTTCCAAGTGGTGCTCGCTGCAGAGCCATTTGGGCCAGCTGAGCTCCAGTGAGGGGGAGCTTGAGCTTAAGCTCCACCTTTTTTGCACTTCTTCTACGAGTGATGTCACTGGGCATAGGGTTAGGGGTGGGGTTGGTGTACACATTAAAACAGCTTACAGGAGGAGGAGCGAGAGCTCATGCTCCCCCTCGCTGGAGCTCAGCTCTGCTCAAATGGCTCTGCAGCGAGCACCCTCTCTCGTTTTTCCCTGATCTGCTGGCCACCCCACTCCTCCCTCTGCTCGCAGCGCTCCACGCCCATTATGAAGATTTTTTTTTACTAAATTCTGAGGTAGACCTGAACCGAAAGAGGGGGGTATCATGACCTTTTAAACATTGCCAATATCCTTCAAACCACTATGCTTTACTCATTGTCAGTCAGCAAAAAAGGTAATCAATTAAAATTTAATTAAAAAAATAAGTACAGTCATTTATTTGTGATGGATTTACTACGTTCAGGTCAGAAAAAAATACGCCATAAAAGTGGACACTTTACTTCCATTAAACACACTTTCAACATATAGAAAATACTTTGATTTCACTCTTTAATAAGACGTCTAGCCCTTGACCCATGTGTGCATGAAATTAATTTCATTTTAAATTATGAAATGCAAATTAAACTGAATGAAAACTCATTCTGTAAAACATTAAGCTTCTTCTAATGCTCCTAAAATTCCCATTGTAGGGTGACTGATCTGTTCTCTAACATTTACCCAAGGCCACAGCTCCTGCTTCAGAATTACTACTAAAGACTACTCACTTGATGTCATCTTCATTAGCGAAAATAATAACCCCTCTGGCATTGGATGTCTCCATTAGCCTTTTGATGATCTTGTCAAACTCTCCAGGTCTCGGCTCCCGAGGAATTTTAATGGCCTGTGCGATGCAAAGACCTCCTAAATAAAAAATTAAAAAAAAAAAAAAAAAGAATAACGATTACAGTGATTTTTAAAAGAATGTAACAGCATTCAGTCTATAGCATGCCTGTCATTACATCTAGGTGACTAATAACTTGTTTACACACAGAAAATCTCTCAAATCCCCTGATCATTATCCTCTTTCCTCATCAAATACAACACCAGATGTGTTAAATCCTTGGATAGACGGTGATGAATTCCACTTCAGGAATGGAAAACCAGACTATGGATAATCTGGGAAAATTGAGCTGCAACTAGAAAGCATTTGCTTTACCTGCTTCCCTGGATATCTGGATGAAAGCGTCTACACCACTCTCTCCATAGTTGCCCTCTGATGCCAGAGTGGAAACATAATTCCACCCCATGGCTTTGACAATGTCCACCATGGCCTGGGCCTGAAAGGAATCAGGCGGCACGACTCGGGAGAAAAAGTCATAGCGGTTGTTGTCACTAAGCTCGGGTGCTGTCGAAGCATAACTGATCTGAGGAATCTGAAAAATTAAAGACAAAGAACACATCAGGACTCATCTGAATCCTTTTCACAGCAAAATTGCAGAAAGAACATGATTTTACTGGCTTTTGAAAACTGCAATATTATTTTCGGGTGATGTGTTTCAAAAGAATGTGAAGCATGGTTACAGTTGAAAGCATTCTGCTTGTAATGTCTGTGTTGTTTATTTAGTGCCAGCCATTTTCTATACATTTTGGATATATCTCTCGTTCAGCCTCAGAACTATTTACCTCACGTCACCCTACAGCCCTCCCATCTGCTATTTTGCACTACTGTTTATGGTCTACAGTTATTTCTACTGTAACTTGTTGTTTAGTGTGATTTGTATTTGTAAGCCACCGGTCCTACTGCACCCATCCCATTCTTAGCTGGGATTGAACCAGCAATACTTTGTATGAGAGTCTAACAAGGAGGCTAAAGACCATGGCCTCTAGCATCTGTTGTTGGACACCTTTAGAGGAAAAGGAGTAAGGTTAGATGGCTTCTGTTACACTCACCCCCAAAAGCGTTCTCTTATCCCAGACGAGCTCACACTTTATGTAGCGCCAATTAAGTGTATTAAGTTTAAGATAGCACTCCAGGTTCAATAAACTAAATGCCAACAGAGATGTTGAATTTAGGCCCCTCTGATATAATTTAATGATGTAATGTAAATAAGGTAAAGTAGAATATAAATTTTCCCCAACATTGAATAAATTACCAGAAATTAACTCTGTGAATAATAAATCAAAGTTAAAAAGAATAATAAAATGAAGTGCTATGCAGGAAAACCTTACTTCTCTGACCTCTAAAGGTGATGTAGCGACCAATTCTAGAGGTCATGGTCAAGCCCAGCTCAGAACGGGATGGGCGCAGTAGGACCGGTGGACTACATGTGGGGGCTTGTCCGGGATAGGAGTGAGATTTTTAAGGGGATGAGTGTAAAGGATAAGGGAGCTCTCAGATTTCACCTAAAATATCTTCATTTGTGTTGTGAAAATGAATGAAGACCTCATGAGCAGGGCCAGACGGAATCTGTGGATGTTTTTTGCTATTTCTGCAGAGAATTTTGGTAAAAATCTGCGGATTTCTGCGGAATTATTTTGGGAGTATCCAGCGGAGTATTATAACTAAAACCTTAATATATTAAATAAAAAGTAATAAATTACTGAATAAAAACTGAATAAATTTAGATTTACGCATTTACTCAAGTAAATAAACAGAATTAATAATGGGCTAAAAATACTGCGGAAAATCTGCGGAAAATCTGCGGAATTCTGCGCACGTAGATTCCGTGTGGGCCTACTCATGAGGTTTGGAATGACATGAAAGCGAGTAATTACTAAAAGAATTTTCATTTCTGGGTGTAGTAAGACTTTAACTGCCAGATGAACTTTGTAGGTTTCACTGACTATGTGATAGAAGCTAAAGTGACTAAAACCCTCCAACAACAGGTTGACCAGATAAAAGCCCAGGAGATGAGCCAGTATAAAGCTGGTCAATCCAAATCTGTGGATTTCAAAAACATTCCACCTTTACAACTCATTCAAGTCACAGAGAAAGACTGGTAATCCACGAGTTGACAAATGGACAAGAGAACAGGATAATGTGAAGAATCTGAATGGGCAATCAGTTCAACACCTAGGCCCGTAGCCAGCCCGTTGAAAGGGGTGGTTCTTTTATCTCAAAAAGTGGACCTTTTTGCAATCATTCGAGGCAATTTTTCTATTTTTTGTTTTATTATGAGGTTCAAATACTGCATTTTAGTGACACTTTAAGCACTATTTTTTGCCGGATTAGCTTGTTAGATGGTGATCATAATCAAACTTTTTTTATGCAACAAAAATATTTCCTACATTTTGCTACACTTACAAAGTGCTTACCATAATATTTTACTATGAAGTGTTTATTTACAAATGCTGCATCCTCTGAAGGATGCATTCGAAGTGCGCTACTGTTGTGACGAGTCAGAAGCCATTGGATCCATTTGCTAGCTTTATTAGCACAATCACACACATGTAACAAAAAGAGGGACAAACCAGGAATCAGGTCGTGGAACAGGCAGAGTTCGGGGCAGGCAGAGAACATTCGCAGTCGTCGAAGCAAGCTAGAGTTCAGGGCAGGTGGACAACAATCACAGTCGTTACTAATTGCAAGGGTGTTCTGAGTGGTTGCTAAGGCATTGATATGCAGTTGCTAAGGTGTTCTGAGTGGTTGCCAGGTGGTTGCTAAGGTGCTGCTAGGTGGTTGCTAAAGTGTTCTAGGCCGTTGCTAAGGTGTTGCAAGGTGGTTGCTAGGGTGTTGTGAGTGGTTACTAGGCGGGTGCTATAGTGTTCTGAGTGGTTGCTAAGGCGTTGTTAGGTGGTTGCTATGGTGTTCTATGTGGTTGCTAGGCGGTTGCAAAGACATTGCTAGGGTGTTCTGAGAGGTTTCTAAGGCTTTGCAAGCGTGTTCTAGGTGGTTGCTAAGGCATTGCTAGGCGGTTGCTAAGGTGTTCTGAGTGGTTGCTATGGTGTTTTAGGGGGTTACTAAGGCGTTGCTAGGTGGTTGCTAAGGTGTTCTGAGTAGTTGCTATGGTGTTTTAGGGGGTTACTAAGGCGTTGCTAAGCGGTTGCTAAGGTGTTCTGGGTGGTTGCTAGGGTGTTCTATGTGATAACTAAAATGCTACAAGGTAGGGTGGGGCTAGTAAGTTTAAAGGTCATCAGTGATTGGCAGATTGGTAGTCTGAGTTAAATGAGCCCAAACTTAAGTCTGTGGCTGCATCCGAAACCGCATACTTCCATACTTTATAGTGCGCTAAAATCAGTATGCGAGCCAAGTAGTATGTCAAAATTCATAGAATTTAAAAATCAGTATGCGAGAAGAACCCGGATGACCTACTTCTTCCAGCGAAATTCTAGCGTGTGCATCCCATAAACACTGTGCTATCCCATAATGCCCTCCGAGAGAATTCATGAATGGGAGCGAAGTGACGCAGCTGATGCGGGGAGGTCATGTGACCATGACAAAATTGCAGAAGTAGTACATCCGAGTTCCATTCATACTGCTCACAGTCATTCTGTATAGAATGAACTTTTCTAAAGACTGAGTAGTACATTTTGTTTTTAAATGCAGTACCTACTGAGTAGTAGGCGGTTTCGAACACAGCCTGTATGACAGTCTGGCGCAAAGTTATAAGGTCAAAAAGTTTGGTCCAATGTTAAGTCAATGGGACTTTTCTGGATTTTCAGGGTCAGTTTTCGGAAAACAGTAACTTGGATCAGTTAGAAAAGATATTGCAACTATATTCATTATAGTTAGGAGGTTTGGAGTTTGGGCGTACTCACACTATGTACAGTTGCCTTGAACCGGGCTAAAGCACGCTTGTCCCCCCTCCCGTCTTCCCCGACGGCCCGCACTCACTTTACATTCGGGCCTGTTCACGCTTAAGTCATCAATGATGCGCTGTTCAGTAAGCGATTTCGCTCAGCACAGTGGAGGGTTCTTCAGTTATATCGTTTAAGTCGTTTGACATGCAGTGATTTGCAGTCTAATATTTCACAGATCGGCCACTTTTGATGCTCATAAACGATCATAGAATCCTTGTGCTGCAGGAATTAGAAGATTTGCTGAAGGTGCAGTTGTGGTGCAGTGAGGGGTTTGCGTCTTTAATAAACTATGACAGTTTGCAGTCATTGAACAGTAAGAAGGATTAATTAATCCGTATGAAACATTCCCTTCAAAATCACGTCTCGCCTTCAGTTTCAGGCGCTGGCACATTTTGCACTCAAACACAAGCGTACCGTGCCAAAGCCCAAGTGAACCGGGCTCCTCCAACCGGGCCAGGGCCAGCCAAGTGAACCGTGTCTGAGCCCGATTCAGAGGACTTACACTTCTCAAACGTTCCGGGAAACGGGCCTGGGCATGGTTCGGAATCGAATAGCATCGTGTGAGTAGGCCCTTAGTTTGGTGGTTGTAGTATGAACGGTCTAGGAGGAGATGAGTTCTTAAAATAGTATAAGAAGAAGAAGACGAAAGAATAATACGTTTATGTAGTATACCAGTATGCTGGCTTTCTCAAGACACCAAATTGAAATAATTAAAACATAATTTCCCTAAAAAAATCAAAAGTTCATTAATTGTTTCGTTATTGTGATCACCACAGTGCATTGCTTTTTTATTTACTGAACTTGTATAAAAGGAATGTTACACTCATTCAATCTGTCATTTTCCTTCCCTTTAGTCCCTTTATCACCACAGCGGAATGAACTGCCAACTATTCCAGCATATGTTTTACGCAACACATACCCTTCCAGCAGCAACTCGATACTAAGAAACACCCAGTCACTCACGCATTCACACACACACACACGCACACATAGACTCTGGCCAGCTTTAGTTCATCCAATTCACTTATACTGCATGTTTGTGGACTGTGGGGTATATAAATATATCTTAAAGATCATCATAACAAGAGCATTTTCGCTTTGTGATATTGCTTAGCCACTTTTGCTGCTGCCCATAAAAATCCTGGGGAAATACAGATGGCACGAGCTACCACTGTAAAAGCATTTGTTTGTATAAAAAAAAGGATGAGAAGATTAATTTACTGTTGTGCTAGTTTCTTAATGACGCAGCTGATGTCACTGGGCCAGGCTTTGCATCTACTAATGTCTGCCTGGACCGTGTGGCTTAATGAGAGGTTTTTTAAGAAGCGGAGCTCGCGGACAGTGAGGAAAAGGTGGATGCTGACCGGAGAAGGAGAGAAGAGGGAGAGGACCATTTGACAGATTATCTAGAAGGATTAGAGGGGTTTTAGTCAAATTACGTTAAGCACAGAGGGAGAGAGACAGATCAAGAGACAAGGTTGCCATTTCTCAGCCATAAGCCATACAATATATTTAATTCTACTAGCTCACTTGCTATGGCAGATTTAACCACTCCTCCCCCATCATGTAACATATATATTGCAGTCTGTTGCACTGCTAGTGACGCCGTTCAGGCACTTGTTACATCTTGCAT